GGCTACCAACAGAAGCTGAGAGGAACTTGCAAATGGCCTGTACAAATCAGCTGAATAGGGAAATACAGTGGCAAACAAAGTCAGTAACAACAAACAAAAACTAAAGCAGAAAAAAAGTTACACTAACAGTCCCAAAGTGTTTCCCATTAATATTATAACTTTTGAAGGAAACTGGTATGTCCTTGTAGTCCAGTGAGGGGCTTTATTCAACGAAAAAGTGTTGCCAAAAATGAAGCCATCGAGCCAAGAGCTTAATAAGATTAGGCCATTCTTTGGCTCTCCAGAACATCTGAAAAGCTGCTAATTGACATTAACACTGTTTCAAAGATATAGCCAGCTTCATGCTTCTGGTGGCAAGCTCACCACCTACAGGTGACTTCACACTGACTCACTGGCAGCTCCATACCCTTTCCCTAATTCAGTGGTACTGCCAAAAGACAAGGCACGCTGTTGACAGATCGCTGCTATGCTCCTGTAACCCCAGCAATTTGGCATTACTGTCCTGGCCATAGCGCTCGCCATTCTTGGCATTACACTGACCTCTGGTGGGTTGTAGGAAACAAGACGCCGAGAACCAGAGCAGACAAAAAGCCAAGGAAATCATACCCTGCGACTTTGGTGAGAGTTCAGCAAGGGCATGCAGAAAATCTGACTTTGGCAGTGCCTCAAGACAGCCTGATAGGAACAACGCCACACTAATGCCTTGCTGCTCACAAATCACTTTAGAGATATTTCAGCTTTTACAACGATGCTCTCTCCAAATAGTCTACTGTGTTGTGTTAGGATTTCCTGTAACACCACTTAAATATGGTACACACAGCAGCCCCTTAACCTTTATGAAGAAAAGGAAGCAAAGGATAGGTGGATCTGCAAGCTTTCTCTGCAACATACATCTCAAACTGAAGTGCATATGTTTAATTTTTCTTGACTCTTCTCAGGCTATATTTAACTATTTTTATTGATTTTGTTATCCTCTGTCACACATTTTAATGTGCCTGAAGGCAAATTGCATGTTTTTAGGAGTCTGACCGTTTCAGTGTCAAGACTTGTGGCATGCTGCCACAAATACCAGCACTGAAAAAACTCATGGAGCAGTTAATTGATGTTGGGAACTGAAATGAGGCCACAAGCCAGGAAGGGCAGGAACTGGTTTTCTTGCTGAAGAAAGCACAACAGGGAATTTTAGCCTTACAAGTTAGTGTTGGAATTCACTCAGGAAAACTAAGGATACACCCAGACAGAATGGAACAAAACAAGATGTTTATTGCAGATTCAGATTTTGACTGCTTATTAGCATTCACAGGAAATCAATGACTACTGAAAAGGATGAGAAGCCAAAACTGTGCTTACTCCAGTTGTAGAGTAAGACTGAATATTCACTCTTCCTTGCACATAGTGATATATTTATTAAAAACTGACTTAGTTTGACATTATATTTCTTGGGGAGTGGTGGTGCAGAGAGCCCCCTGATGACTATGTCAGTTGCCAGCTGTTGAATTCTACTTTGAAAACAAGTAAGAGTGAATGAAGAGATCATTTATGATATGCAGTACTTTTTAAAACTAAAGTTAATGTATTTAAAGCCTAATATGCTCTTTCAGTACTAACTTGTCAGAAATATTCTCCAGTCTGACAAAATACATCAGTAATAAGAAAAGGCCTTTTTGTGCATGTTCAGGAAGTGCCCAAGAATATTTTAACAGAAAGGAAAAATCTCAGCTTATGTAGCTGTTAACAGCAGACTCACTTAGGTGCTAGGTTTGAAGCAGCTCAACAGACCTTGTACACACAAATGCTGCCCACACGCACTTGTGGACACAGGTACCTTGTGACACAGGTACCTTGCTGCTGGAAGTCTGCAGTGCTACTTGCAAGCTGGTTAAACAGACTGAAAAGAAATTTGTGCAAAAGAATGAATACAATAGTAAGTGTAGTCACTATCATTGCTCCCTCCCATGCTTTTTCCATTTGGCAGGATGACAAGTAGTGCAAACAGCACTTTCAGCCAGCCAAATGATAACTTTTCAGAAAACCTTCAAGAAATTATTATTCTTTAGCCCTTTTATAATTTGGCTTAAAAATATTGCCAATTGACACTGAAATTATTCCAGTGATTAAATAATTGATCACGCTTAGGAAACAAAAGAGAAAGTAGTTCTTCACCATTAACTTCAAAGACAACAAGTCTGAGTGTCTTATGCCTTTCTCTAGGTAGGTTCAGCTTTTCTTTCTTAATCACTGTAGGGTCAAAGTTGTCCTCTTGTGCCCTGTGGCTGTATTGACAAACTGGAATACATCAACTCCTGCTACTGGACAGTGATTTAGCCCAGATTCCACATAAGAGGTCACAAAGCTACAACAGGGCTTTGTACCAGAGCAGATAATTCACAGCTGCTAACCATGCAAAATGTACAATAAATAATCTGAACAACAGGGACAACTGCTGGGACAGAAGTGTCCTGACCTGGCAAAGCAGGACTCACACTTTAACCTTCTGCTACACCTCCCACATATTTAAATGTGGTATCTGTTTCCACCTCAAGGTTGCTCCTATCTACTAGGTAACTAAGAATTATTGTTAGTTATGCCTTCAATCTAGCATGTCCTGGTTTTGTGGGAATATTTGTAAAAAATAAAATTATAACAGATTCAGAGATTAGGAATTCAGATTCACTGTGATCACCTAGAAGAGAGGCACATTAAGTCATTCCAATTTGAATTATGTTGTCACTTTCCAGAAAATTCTAACACTGACAGGACTAAATTAATCAGTTGAAAACATAAATAAATCCAGCTGTGCAGCATCATCTCCTGTCTTTTGTAAATTGTGCCACTGATTATTTTTACTGTCTTCAAAGTTGTTCAGTAAGAAAAGAAACACAGGATGTGTGATCAATGTCCCTAACCTGTTTATGATCTGAAAAGCTTTGATCACTGTTTTCTCATGGTATATGATTGCTTCAGCAAGTTTACAGGTGACACCAAACTGAAAGGCTTGAGAGAAGGGACTCTCTTCAAAGAGACTTCTACAGGTTTGAGGGGTGAGTTCATAAGATTTGGTGTTGTTCAGTCTAGAGAAGAGAAGGCTACAGGCAGACCTTAAAGCAGCCTTTCAATACTTAAAGGGAGCGTATAAGAAAGATGTAGACAGGCTTTTTACCTTTGCCTGTTGTGACAGAACAACAAACAATGGTCTGAAACTAAATGAGGAGAGATTTAGATTGGACATAAGGAAGAAATTCCTTACTCTAAGGGTAGTCAGATTGCCCAGAGAAGCTGTGGATGTCCCCATTACTGGAAGTCTTCAAAGCCAGGTTGGTGGGGCAGCTTTGTGCAACCTGGTTTAGTGAAAGATGCCCTTGGCAACAGCACAGAGTTTGGACTAGCAGGTCCCTTCCAACCCAGACCATACTGTGACTCTGTGACTCAGTAACAACTTCTGGGTTTACCTGAAGTGACCACATCATTCATACAGGCAGTTAGTGTTCTATAGATGGAACATTTTCTCATTTAGTTATTTAAGTTCTCCTGTATCTCCAGGCATAAATAATATATGTCACAGACATTTAAAGCTTTTTCCTCACTATACTGTTCACTTAGATAATCAAAACCTAGTTATATTTGGCTTAAACTTCTGTCCAGGCAACTGTCCCTGAGCAGCAAATCAACACTTGGCTGTATCAGCAACACAGAGTAACAGATCTCCACCGTTACTCTGATTTAATAACACAGTAACACTGAGTTAATAGCTTGACTGTCACCAACAAGCTCATGCACGTCCCTCAAAGACCACTACTTGTGAATTATAAGTATCACTTTACCCAAAGTGCTGACCTTTATGCATGGATAAGTTTGGCTTGAGGCAACACCTAAGACAATCTTCCTCATGTACAAAACACAATTTCAAATGACAAGTCAAAGCTATTAGAGGTGAATCTGTTTAAAATTAATGTTGATGTTATTTTAGCTTGTGCTATAAACAGAGCACTAATGTACCCTGTCTTAGACATGTCTAAGCATCATGACGCAAAAGCTAATTTCTGTAAAGCAAACTAATGTTGCACTCCTGCAAGTACGAAGACTTTCCCAGAAGCTCTAAGTGATGACATCTGCTTGCCCCTTAACTTTTTCTTTTATTTATCTTTATTCCTCCTAACTGTCTTAGCTGCAATGAATCACATCTCTTTGCCTGGGCATTAGGCAACCTTCTCATAACCTCCTGTAATTTAGCTAAGGCTGTTCTGCAGACGTGAGTTGGCAACTCTGCCTTCCAGACGCTGTGTAAGTGCTTCCCAGGTAAGGAGGAGCCAAAAGAAGGAAGCAGACCACAGCAGCCCCAAGAATCAGAGCAAGATGGACTCCAGCGAAGAACATGAAACCTTATAGTGCCAGAAAATGCTGACCACACCACAAGCAAAGAAGCAGGCACATAGATATGAACAACACAGATTCCAACTTGCACCTGATATCTTGTGTTTCACCCACAGAAAGTTGTGAACTTTGGGATTTATAAATGTGGGAATCAGTAATGTTGTAGAATTTTTTGTTAGATGATAGCTTAATCCACCAGAGCAAGGCAGGTAGGAAAGTTGTACAGGTTTCCCTATAGCTGGCACCAGCCTCATCCTGCTCTTTTCCAGACATGCTGCCAGGTTATCCTCGTGGTGTACCTGCCTGCTCTGATTCCCCCTTCCCACAGGATTTCCAATGTGTGAACACAAGGTCAGGAAAGAGCTGAGCTTCTGCCAGCGTTCAAGCCTTAATATCGAGCACTGTCACAACTTGCAGTGTGAACCAAGGCTGGTTCCTCTCTCCATGTGCTCCCAGCGGAGCAAACAGCAGGAAACTGCTGGGGTGGATACAGCCCATTTTGGCTCTCTGAACAAAGACACAGAGCCAGATTTAGAAAAGAAACATTGCTTAATCTGCAAAGGAGCAAAGTGGAGGTTTCCACAAATCAAGAACACCGGAAGCGAAAAGGTCACAGCTTTCACACAGCAAAACATCCTCGGCCCACCTAAAGCATGTTTATTTCTGTGATGTAACATGGCACAATTCTTCAAACACAGCCCTTTTCTTTATTAAGGAACTTCTACTGTGTGCCATCTGAGGGCACCGCTTACGTTTACAAAGGGCGAGGGGAGTTCAGCATGGGGACAGACAATTCAGCCTGAAGGTATCGCAGCCACGAGCGAGAGGTACACGGGATGGCGGGGTTAGTGCAGTCACCTCACCGGGATCTGCCCCTGTAAAGACAAAGGGAATCCCGGGGACTTGCTAGAGCAGCCTCCTCGCCGCGACGGCACAGGGAACACAGGGAGGCCCCACAAAGGCCCCGGAAACACCGGGAGCGTCCAGAAGGAACGGGAAACATTGGCAACTTCCCCCCACACCCCCGACACAGCTCGGTGGGCGCGGCACTGCGCATGCGCAGACAGCGGAATGCGACACTGCCTCTCTGAGGCGCCCCCATCGCCGCGTTGACACAGGGGGAAGAGCCGATGCTGGTCCGCACCTCGGGGCCTTTCCGGGGCAGTGTCTCCTGCTCAGGATCCTTCTGCGTGGATGGCCGAGTCTGAAACCTCGCGTCTGCTGCACACTCAGTATGCGGCCGCTACGCTGCGGGAAGAGAAGGAGGCGACGCACGGCGTGCCCCCCTCTCTTTCGGGAGGGATGGTTCGCCTCGCGTGAGGCGCCAGGAGCATTGCGGCGGCCGCGGCTGCTGAGGGAGCTGCGTTGGAGGTTGTGCTTATTGGCGGTGCCTGTCTTCGAAATCGGGCACTTACCTCTAGTATGTCCTTTTAGACTCCTTGTACTGTTCGTGTATCTCTGTCGCTCTTCCAAATATGTCTTCTCCTTTTTTTTTCTTTCCCAGATGAAAGCAATGGAAGTTGGTCAGTGGCCGGAGCATGCACCAACATGACCAAAAGGTGTCCCAAGGGCATGGTATTCTCGGCTTTTCTCATTAAATGTTTGCTCTGTATATAATATTACTTAATAGTGAATTTTGAAATATTTTTCAACTGATTAATTGCTCTTTTTCATAAGCTGTGAATTTAATTTTGCTGAGGTATGGAGTTCCCATACTTAAGTTTTTTGCCTTTGTGTTGCCCATTCATTCCTGTCCAGAATGGATGTGGTGTCAAAAAAGGCAAACAAGAATTATTGCTCAAAGTGGTTTAGGGAGCTGGTTATGTACCTTCCTCCTCTCTGTTTTTGCAAGGACAAAAAAACCCCAAAAAACATGTACAAATAGTATAGTTGAGTAGGTATGTAGAAGGTTTTATTCTTCAGTCTTTTAAAGTGGAGAATCTGACAGTTACTAGAAGAGGAAAAGCTAAAATTATAGTGGCCACTTTTAGCATTGTTTAGCACTCCTGTCTGTCATGATCTTTACATTTGCAAGTAATTAGTACATAACTTTCCAGCAGCAGCCTCTAGATTTTCTATTATAAAAATATATTTACAGCTTAATACTGAACACGCAGAAAATATTAAAATCTTCTTAAAGGGGAAAAATTGTAGTTTGTTTTTGTAGATTTGTGGGTGTGTCATTCAGTATTGGATAATATGCTGTCTGCTCTTTTGCTGAGCTTTCCTTGATGTCCTTTTGAAAGTGTAAAGTGTTCTTCAATATTGTCAGATTCCTGACAGAATGCTTAATGCTAGGAATGCTTCTTACAGATTTCTAGTGTGTTTTGCTGGAAGTTCGGGATCTCCCAGAATAGCCCTGTGTGCTGAAAGTCTCTGAGCATGAGAAGGGCATGTGGGAAGAAGCCACCAAGTGCTGATTGCACAGCTGTGAGTAACAATAATTCCTTGTGCAACTCTGTCCTGTAGCCTGCTGTTACAATGAAGCAGGCTTTCTGCTGAGAAGGTTTGCCACAATGACTTCAGAGCAGAAATTAGAACTGAAACAGCGAGAGTGAGATCAGCCTGATGGCTGTATTCATATCAAAAAGAGCAAAGTGGAAGCTACAAAATAAAAATTTCTGTGTGGGTGGCTTGTTAAATCAGTATGCGGCTGCCAGCGTGTCCAAGACAAGGACTTGCTTTCTCATGTTTGCTTTTAGGGGTGTGATATTGTGGAGCAGTTCAGAACACAAGGATTGAAAATGTTAAAAAGGCTGACAAAATAGAAAGCCTGGAATCTCATATGCCAGATACTGCTTCACTGTAAAGTCTTGGAAGGGCCAGCAATATTGAAAAGCTGAATAGCGCAAGTTAGCTCGAAATTCATTAGTACAAACAAGGTATTAATAAAAATTGCATACACTGTCAAGTCTTTCTTTGTTGCTGAGACTGTGATTTGTGTAACCTGCGTACCCAAGGGTGTGACACATAATTGAAGTCTCTGAAGCCAGGAACTTCTAGGTCAGTACTGGAAATCTGGTGTAAGAATGATCCTGTACTACATCACTGTACTACATCACAGCTTTTGTTTGGCTTGTGGCTTTTTTTCAGGAGAAAATATAACTAATCTTCAGTGAAGTGATGAAACTCCTCCAGGTTGGCCGTAATGCTCTTGAAAGTAATAAAATCAGAAAGTTTCATCAATGAAATGTGAGAATCTGCTTGAGTAGCACCAATGCACTGAATCCTTTACCACTGCTGCTGGTAGGAAGTGAGCCTGTGAAATCCATCCACACCTTCTGCACTCTTTTGCAGGGCTGAAGAGTAAGGTGGGTGCTCTGTGTATGAGTTTCTGTCTGGGAAGAGAAAAGTTTGTGTAATCCATTATTAGCAATGTCCAGTAACAAAGCGGCTGCTTGTTTTCCAACAAAAAATTATTAAATCGTGTATTATTGACTTACTGTTCCCAGTGTGTTTTCTAATGCACACTCACCGGTATGAGTTAGTACTGCAGGAATTTCTGTTGATTCCCACTAGCCGGAAAGTGTTATTACTGCCACCACCTTGTAGTTACCATCTGAATTCTTGCTTAGGTGGGCAAAAGGCCTCTCTTGCAGGCAGGCTTCCTAAAAATTAAGATTTGCAAATTTTACCTTTTTGCCCAAGGGATGAGGGGAAGCTCATCTTTTTAATTTTGTATTAGTGTTGGGGATTTAGAGAATGTTACTGAAAAGGGCTGTGTGCTACGTGTCCAGTCTCACATCGTGTGTTTCTTTTTTTCCTTAGGAAGAATTGTTAGAACCAGCCTGGGAGCAATCCCTGTCCATTGAAACACTCCTCCCTAAGAAGCAAAAAACTGTTTAAAAGGTGGTCTATTAAGCCTTCATATAGTAAGACAAAGTGCATTTAACTGCATTGTGGCAGTGTCTGGTAATGTTTATATAGACAAAAATTAAAGATTTTATTTTCTCTTCTCAGAATTCCTGTCTTTCACAAGCTTTAGTAACAATTGCTTCTGTTAGAGAGTTTGGACTTCCTTTGTGTTATTGTTGGCATACCAATGCACCCCTTCGGATGAAACAAAGCCTAGGAGTGAGTTGGGATGTGATGACTTAAACCATGGTGTCCTGTAGTATTTGAAGATAGGGTTGGCTGAGATTTTTATTGTGGTGAGCAAAAGTAGAAATTTTAAAAGTAGAAATTCAGCAAACCTGGCTTTAAAAAGAGTAAGAAAGGTGTTTATTCAACATGGAGAACAGCAAGCTTGGTTTATTATCACCTTGACATCATGTGGTACTTCAGCATAACTTAGAGTGAAAAACTCTTGAGATAATTGAGATTGCTGCTTATTTTTCTAGGAAGACTTAACATAGTTTATCAGAAGAACAAATGTTTAAATTGTGTATCTTGCAATGTGTGATTTTTCAGTACTGAATGTAAGCATGTTAATAATTCTAAGTGTAAGGTTGTTTTTAGTTTGTCAAGAGAGAAGGGGGTTTAGACAAGAGTAATTAATTTTTAGAGGTCCAGCTTGTAATTATGGGATGTACTTGAAAGTTTAGGGTTTTTACTAGGGATTACATTCTCTGAAGATACCATCTGTTCAGGAGTTCTGCTTATGGGCCTTTGTTCTTGAACTATAAGACCAACAGGAATAGCTTTTTAAAACTTTAAAAAAAAAATCTCAAGAGCAACAGCTAGTTACTGATTTGATAATTGGTATCTAACCCCATTGTTAGATACTTGGTTGGTATCAAGCCCAGGGTAAACTTCCTTTCAACTAAAAAAGATATAGAACCCCAAGCTTTAATGTGTACTACAGGTGTTATAGTGGAGTACAACAAGGGAAAAGTGAGGTCCAGGGAGCAATAGGTGTGTGCAAGGGTCACAGATTACTTTAATAATAATGCTGGTAAATGTGAAGTACGATGTTAAACATTAGGACTGCCAGTTATTTTGTATGACTGGCTAACTGGATTGCAGCCTTGAAAAAAACATCAGATGTAAGAATCTGCTCAGCAATAAAAACTGAAGAGAAAGGATAAGGTATTCATATTCTGGAACAACCTACTACATGTACTGAAGCCCTGCGTTGCAGGAACTGGGTGGATACCATGTGCTCCTGGGAAGTAGAAAAAGTAAATCTTTTGGAGGTTGAGGGGTTTTTTTTGCTTTTGCTTCTGCTTTATTAAACTCCTTTATCTTGACCCACAAGGATTTTTTCCATCTAATTCCCTTGCCCATCCTGTCAAGGAGGGGAGTGATAGATCAGCTTGGTGGGCACCTGGTGTCCAGCCAAGGTCAACATACCACAGCTCTTACTCAGGAGAACAAATACAGGAATAAAACCAGACACATTAAGGAGAGAATGTCTGCCACACTGACTCTCTATCTGTGTGTTTGCTTTAACAGCTTACATAGTCTGCTGTTGCTCTCTGGTGATTTTTAGGTGAGAAGGAAACTGGTATAGATGTGCACAGGAAATGCAAACCTTACACTGACAACTTCCAGCTACAAGATAGAATACTTAATCTGGAGAAGCTGTATCCTCAAGTGGATTTTAATTGGTACTACACCTGTTTTTACCAGATGGTGGTGTCAAATGAATCTGAAGGCTTTGCTCCTTAGTGTAATGTAAATAAGACACACAGGCAACCATGCAATGCCCTAAAAATTCAAGTTTTACTTGACTTTTAAATAACTTGGACACAAGTATTGACACAGCCATCTATCAAACTCATTTTAAAATAAAGCACACAGTTGCTTCATGAATACCTACTGTACATGGAACAAATGTATCACATTGGTATGTTCATGTATGTTGTCTTCAAACACCTTTCTAGGGAGTTTTGAATTAAACAAATCTTCCCAAAGAAAACATGCTATCTCTTCAGCTCAATATCCACCTGTATAAAAGGAATGAATTTGGCAACTTAAATGGTAATGACTTTGCAACAAACATCATCAATATAATGAGCTTGATTAGAATACAAGTTGCAGAGTTAGTGATACTGGTAAGAGGTCCAGTGTAGAAAACACCAGGTCCAGGCTAGTTCCAAATGAAAGAAACCAGCCAGCTAAGCAAGGGAACCAGTGCAGGATACACAACAGTGCTTTTGTGCTGTGGTTAGCAAGCCCTCTTTATTGTATAAAATACATGTTTTGCAAAAGGTTGTACAAATATGTTGTAATTGTTGCTAATTAGTGAGAGTTCTATAACTTACCAATGCTTAGCTCTTACTTAAGTCTCAGAAGACGTAAAGGCAGAGGCAAATGTAAATCGTTGGCCTGAGATCAATTCAGGAGAACTAGGAGGAGAATGCCTCAAATAACAATCCTTTGTCCAAGTGAGCACAGGTCTGTATATGGCATTCAACCCCAAGGTAAACTTCCTGACACTGTTATGTATTTTGCCTGATTGATCAGGATGTAAAAGTATTTTAGACTGACATCCAGACTCCAAATCTGCAAATGTAACTGCCTCTAGGCAGTGAATACCCCAGGAGAGCTGGGGAAGGGTAGTAACAATGGAGAGGGCAAGGTGTAGCTCAGAGCTACACCTTAGACATGTAGACCTGGTTTAGGTGTGGAAGTCATAGCTGTGACACAGTGAGTGTTTTCAGTGATTGATCACTTGTGTGTATATCTCACAAAAATACCATAAAAAAAGGTGCTTTTCCTCAAATGATTGAGGAAAAGCTTGAAGGGAAAGGAATATCACATATATGAAAGAAATTTGCTTTTCTGTACTATTAGCTGACAGTGATGTCCTTATTGCAAGTTTTGCCTTGTTTTGGCACAACAAAGCATTTGGAAAACATGTAATAGGAGGCATTATATCTTTAGTCTTTTGTATACACAAAACTGAATTGTAGTGGCCCAGGGTAACTGACTTGCTGACCTACATAGTCTCATCAGGGAGATCACTAACTCAGATCTGGGGGTCTCTCCATAAACTTCTCATCTAAATACAATAAAGTTGGCTTGATTATGAAACAACTCTACAGTGACTTGAGAATTTGAACCTTTCACTACTAGACTAGATAGAAGCTATTTTCTGGTGTAGTGCAGTAAGTAAAATACCATGCACTTGGCTGATGTATTTGCTTGGTATTCAGCAATAACAAACAAAAGGCCCACAGGACAATGAAAGCCCACAGGAAAACATGAGGTTGGATATAAACCCTCTTGATCAATATTTAAAGAATGGCAAGATAGGTACACTATGTACAGATAATTCTTAAATAACAATACAAATCCTCCTGCAGTAGTAGATACATGCTACTTACTTATGCCTGGGTAAGAATACCAAACTAATGGTAATTATTAGAAAGCAGCAAACTATAAGCAAGTGTGTAATGCTCCAAGCTGGAACACCTTCTCAAAGGAACAAGGAGTAGCTTTCATTACTGGCACTAACCAGTTCTTGTATAGTTTGTCATTTTTCAGTTGTCTTCCAAAAGATTGTGATGCCCTCCATTAAGCCATTTTGCTATGGTGGTATTTTTTTTTTCCCTGGGGATTGATCAGGGTTTTTGTTGTGGTTTGGGTTTGGATTTTCTTTTTAGTTTTGGTTTGGATTTTTTTGTTTTGTTTGGGCTTTTCCTAACTGTTGTTCTTGACAGTATTACACAAGGTCATAAACAGATCCTAAAGGATCACTTTAAATTGGAGCAATGATAATGAAACCATTTAACAAATTTACAAAGCTGAGCAAATATTTTAAGCCAAGCCCAACAATGTCCTAGAATGAAATCCATAGAAAAATTTAAAAAATTCTGAAGAACCTCCATGAAAACTAAATTTTTACTAGAGAGGGGTTCTTGCTCTTTTTTTCCCTTAGATTTGTTCACTGAGACTGTAGAAGCAGAGCTATCCCAAGTAAATGACCAAAAAAAGTATTTGTTAAGTGAATCTGCCTTCCCTGCAGTACTTCCCAACCTAGAGACCACTCCATACTGTGATAGGAATATACAAACTATGGCTGCCACCCTGGCTAGTAACATCCACCTGACCACCTCAGATCATGAAACAATGAAGAATCAAAAAATAAAGTGGAAAATACATTGTACAACATTTTGCTTACCAGTTTAGTCAGTTAAAATGTGTATTAGTAATCCCATGCCTCTTGTAAGGTGTAACTATGCTAACTCCAGTTCTCAAGCAGTGTTGCTTTTCTGACAGGGCTGCAATTCCCTGGTGTTGCTTGGACTGAAAGACAGGATCACTGCAAATCGCTGTGGGTTTTGAGGGTTGAGTGTAGAGAGGACAGATGTAGAAAGGCACATGAGCTGCTGCAGCTGTTTGTGACACTGTTTGACAAATTCAGTACTTAGTTCAATTATTACACTTAGCAAAAAATTACTTCCACGACACAAAGACTTTGCTAAGCTCTCTAGCAAGTCAACAACACCTGAAGGTTCATCCATGTGCTGACTGTCAGATATTTGTGAGAAGTGATAGGGCAAAAGAAGAGCCAGTCATCACTTCAGATATGTATTAGAAGATAACCCACTCAATGTGCAGCATCATTAAAACTTAGTATTCCTACCATGACAATAGAAATTATAGTTATCATACCTGAAATACTGCTTTGTCATTTTAACAGTAGAAATGGCTCAGAGAAAAGTGTCAGATTATTTTATATGAGATATTAAGACAGATTTTGCTAATCTAGATTAAAAAAAATAAAACAACTATTTTCTAGCTGTTTTAAATACTACTTCACAAGTTTCATTTAACCAGCACTGAAGTGCCTTGTTAAGCAGTCTTTACACAGTGGGTCAATTTATATTCCTCTGTTTCCAGTGCTTTACTACATGTTGGTAAATGTATGGAATGTATCTGTGGTATGGAATGTTCATTTAAATAGTCCCTCTACACAAAAGGACATTCAAAATTTACAGCACTTAAACCTGCCCAAAGCAAGCTGTATCACCTCTGGAATGTACTGCTACAGCATGTTACAGAGTCTATTCTTTTTGAGCTAAAATGAGTTGAGTCAGATTTTGTATCAACAACACAAGCATCTGTTATTGTGCTAGGTGAAAATAACCCTTGTAAGAGCTATCTGTCCTTATGTCTCAGAACATAAGTTGATCCCCATATAAATTGTGAAGATATTTTCCCCATATCACACCGTATTGCACAATTGACCAAAAATATGACTATTTTACTTATCTTGATCCTGATCATGTCAGTTAAGAGTCACTTCTTGGAACAAGGCTGTTCAGTTACAGAGCAGACCATGAAGCCTGTTTTGCAGCAATTTTTTTGTTGTTGTTCATCTTTTGGAAATGTAACTGCTGATCTCTCAGTTTTGCACGGACTTTTGGTTTTGGTTGTCTATGAGGCAGCTTGTTCTCAATCAGTCACACCACTAGAATGATGTTGGTGATAAAACTATTGCTTGGTCTTCCCAGCAAGCAGCCTGCACTGCCAGGTGTCCTGAAGGAAAGACCACCCCATCGACTTCACTTCCTTCCCTTGCACGCATAAACAAATCCTCACTTTCCAAAGACCAAAATCCATTCACCATCTTCAATTCATCAGTCAAGTCTCCACCTTGAAGCGTGACACCTGTACAGTCTTTACAATCTTAGTGTTGGGTTTTCCATCAACATTATTAGTGGATAGCAGAGATGGTTCTTCTATTAGGCTGTCCTTAGATCCATTCTGCCTCTGAAGGGAATAAATTAAACATGTTGTTGAAAAGATACAGCAGAATTTAAACACTGTATTTTGCTAGCTTTCTATGAAAGCCTTAGGCTATGGGTATGGCAATTCACGTATACATATATATACACACATCAGGAATATTAGAGTCTCTACATTTATTTGATCAAACAGAACTTTTTTCCCCTCTTGCGTGCTGCCAGCTGCTGACCCTTTGTGCTATTGCCTCTTCAGAAAATGCCATGATTAATTATTTGATGTTTAGCAAAACACTGCAAGTAAACACTCACAAGGAAATAATGGCCACAGTCGTGAGTGATCCTGGGGCAGAGGAAGAGAGGTGTTTGTATACACTGAACATTTTAACGTTACTGGTATGGTAAGTTAGGTGTCTGGAATTCTCCCTTCCATGTTTTGATTCCCCTTTTGTGTGTTTGTACTAAAGACCAGTGAGTGCTTTTGAATAGAATTTGTGTCTCACATTCTGAGCTCAATAAAACTATCAAAACTGAGATGTGGTAGTGTAATGTATGATGAAAGACAGAAATTAAGTTAGATTAACAAAAGGCAAGTTCTGTCCTTTTTGCATGTAAATAGCCTAAAAAATATTCAGTATTTGTGGGGGGGGGGTCAAAATAAAAGAGAAAGAAAATTAAAGAAGCACTGTTTCAAGCCCAAGCAACAGAACTCTTCTAAAAGAGATTAATAAATGATGTGATTACAACTGCATCACAACCACATTTGCATAATTCAAGAAGTGGTAAAAGTCAGTTTTCCTTCAGTGACAAGCAGAGATCCAACTTAGGAATGCATCAGATTGGGAAAGAGTTCTCCAGCAGCAGAAGCAGGTGTTCACAGGGGCATATGCTAAGAACTACATGTATTTTGAAATACAAGCAAAATCTAAGTAAAATACAAAAGTTCAATTCACACTGCTGCTGAAAAAAAATCTCATCCTTATTTTTCACTGAAAAACAAAGACTATCTTAAATAGAGCACTAGCACCCCACTTCTCCCTCCAATAAAAAGGAAAATTGAAAAGAATGTACAATCACTAACCTGTTGAGTCAGCTGGATGCTGGGAACTTTCCCATCTGAAGATCGTGTCACAGGCAGTGGAGGGACCAGATCAGTTTTGACACTGGAATTACAATATCACAAAATGGATACTGCTTTAATGAGGTAAACTATAACTGTGCAGCTGAGAACAGTGAAACTGACACAGACTGTTCTATAGATCTGAAAGGCCTCTATCACCTGACTTAGGACACCTGAAAGCTGTCATGCTAATCCTTTGTGGGCACCTTCAGGGCACAGCCCATCCCATCCCTGTCTTTTCCTGGTCTTTGGAAGCAGCCCAAATTGATACAACATCATTGACAGAATGGTTTGGTTTGGGAGGGACCATGAAGATCATCCAGTTCCACCTCCTGCTATAGACTTGGATACCTTCCACTATCCCAGGTTGCTCAGGGTTCCCTCAACCTGGTCTTAGGCACTTCTAAGGAGGGGCAGCCACAGCTTCTTTGGGCAACCTCTCCCAGGGCCCAGCCACACTCATGGCAAAGACAAGTCTCGCATGAAATCATCAGTGTGCCACTGATGATGACAGTGGAGGGGATTTGAATAACTACATTCCAGGCAAACCAAGCATCTCTCAAACCCTACAAGGACCATCTCCTTCAGGGTGCTATCCAGCTACAATTCACCTTTCTGCTTGTTTCAAAAGCTAGGGAACTGTGTTGTATATTTTTATGGCCTTGTTGCAACCAAGAATGGGGCTGTTGCTTTTCCATTCAGAAGTACTCTTCAGTCTTCTAAGAAAGACTGATCCACCAATTGATGAAGAGGGTTGTACTAGAGTTCCCATGAGAAATATTACAGACCTAACACTAATAACATCTTAACTCTGTCAAGGATGAAGTTACCTGGAAAGCAACTCATGGATTCTCCTCCCCTAAGCAACGTTATGACCTACCAGTAAAGACCAATACAGGTTTATTTCAGTCTTTTCAGTTTTCCCCCTTCCAAATGGATCAAGAAAGCCACTGTGACTGAGAACAGACCATAAATGTTTTTGGAATTATTTCATTTATATTTAGCTCTGAAGATCTACTATTCAGGGGGTTGCCTGAACCACCAACAAGCCACATTTGTGCAGCTTCATACCACCCTGATTTCTATACAACCTTTGGGCTGCACTAGACTAGTTCAGTGCTAATAACCATGTTCACATACTTCACTTCAGACAGGACAGATCTCTCCCCATCGGAGCACTGGGACCGCCGGTACTGCCTGTAGCTGCGAGGGGAGTGCGAGTGCCGGATGCGGATGGGGTCACCTTGAGTCCTGAGAGAGACAGAATTTACAACAGGGGGTTGGTAAACCAGATCTTTGGCACAAAACATAAATTCAGCTGCAGACTGAGTGTCTGCTTTGTATTGAAGTGTAACAGATGGCTTCTTCCAGTAGCTGAATTTAAAGGGCTGATGCTTCTTTTTAGAATTCTGCACTTGGAATTCAATGCTTTAAGAGAGCAGAGGTCACAAACTGGCATGCCCATATTTGAGAATGGAACTTTAATAAAGAATACAATAATTTATATGTCCTTAAAATCAGCCTTTTCTGCCAAGTGGTATTTGGAAGTACATTATAATGCAACCCAGGATCCCATTTGTGCCACATTCAGCTGCTTGCACTATGACCTGGAATCCCAAATGGGCAATTATTGCAGTGAAATGGATGTTGGTTCTTAAGGAAATAGCTATGCCCTGGCAGCTGCCCATGACAAGCCAGGGAAGGGGTTGCAAAGATTAAAGAGTGCCTTGGATGATCAGAATATTTAAAACAAACAAGTGTAAGAAAAAAAAAAATTATTTTCTTGTTTGCATTCTCTTCTTTCTGGTTCTGTAGTTTATAATATAAGAAATTTTCATGGCTAGCCTAGGGAGACATACATACATACAGACAGACAGGTTTATGAGTGTGTGCGAGAGATTAAGATGGGTTTTTTCTTACTTTGAAAAGGAAAAATATTTTCTTTTAAGATTATTAAGTATCCCCACCCAACCCATCCTAGAGGAGTATTTGGAATAGATGTGAGCTTATATATTACGTGTAAACCCATTCCTATTTCAGTAGGACAAAGTTCACAGTAAAGTAAGAAAAGTGGGCTTTTATATTCACCAAAAAAAAGCTGACATAAACTCACTCTACTTTAGTGTATGGAATTTCTTTCAATTGCTCCTCAGATAGTCCAGATGGATCCACAAGCTCCTTCCTATAAAGGATTAGGAAAAGTAAAAAATGTAACAGTAACTGTGAAGTGCAAAAGTTTTTATTATATTGGGCTAAAAAGATTAGTAAAACAAGCTGTTGTCAGCACTGAAGCTATCTTCACGCCAAAATAAGACACCTATTTTGAAATAAGTGTAACTTCACCTTGATTGCTTCAACTGCATGTCTCATCCTGTTCCACCTTCTTCTCACCTCCCTGCAAATCTGATCTTGTTGCATCACAATATCATGAGTATTATGTGTACTAAACAGTGAATACGTTTTGAAATTACTTAATATCTTCCCAAGGGGTAATGGGGTGTCATGCTAAAAGTGTTGATATTGATATTTTGGAAGCCACATAGGAATAAATCCCTAAAATTATGTATTGTTCTTTAATAATTCATTTACATACAATGATCTTTATTCCATGCACTCAGTGACCTGCAGTATCTTCTACACACAGGAGGTCATCAACATATACATAATTCACTGAAACTAAATCACTGTAGTGCGACAGTGGAGGGGATTTGAATAACTACATTCCAGGCAAACCAAGCATCTCTCAAACCCTACAAGGACCATACTTACTGAATATGTTTCCACAGTTCTTCTTTAGCTTGTACATCTGGGCTTCTCCTATAAATATCAACAAAGACAACAAAGGCTCAGCTGTGAAAACCATCATCTGAGATGTTGCTGTTCAAATAACTTTTAACACTACACACCCTGCACAGAAATCATGATAAATGTAATCCACCAGTGACTTCAATTCTAAGGTTTGTTATCTCATAAAATTCATTAAACTTCTTTGCTTTATTTCAACTGAAAAGTCATTTCTTGAATGACAGGCTCTCAATCACAATTCCAGTTTCACCAGCCTTCAGCAAGAGTGTACATAAAATATAAACAACAGCAGAATTCCCCAAGCCAAATGCCCCCCCCCCACTGCCCAGTTGCTGCCAACACTTAGCCCTCCAAGGACAACATATTTTGGAATAACACTTCTGAAAAAGGCCCTCAGAAATGTCCTGTGGCCCACAGAGCCCTTGGTGGGCAGAAGGAGGCACAGGCCACAGATCAGTAATTCCAGCCATTCCCAGTGGACACCAGTAAAGACCTGTAGCTCCACAGCAATCACAGCGCAGCCTTTCTGTTTCTGGTCATCTCCAAAAAAGGTTTCTGCTCAATTTATGTTTTTTTGGTGGCTGATTAAAAAAAAAAAAAAAGAAAAAAAAAAAAAACCACCAACAAACTAATCAAACCAGCAGCTATGCCTACTTATGCACCTAAATATTTTAGCAAATATTCAATTCACACACAAAAGAACTTACCAAAAATGGTAATCTCCCTGTTGCAGACATAGAGATGGAGCAAAGAAAGCCTGAGGGGCAGGTTTTGCATTTTGTACTAAATCACAGAATAGATGTTTCCAACTTTATTTTTACTTTTCTTTTGCTTCTCTATTGCAAGGTAAGTGCAAAAGCACCACTGTTATTTAAGCTGCACCTGGAATTCACCCAAACCCATTCAGAGCAATAGATTAACTACATTTGCATGGAGAGGTCAGATAACTCTTTTCCTTGTCATTATATAAGTTCAGTGTCAACAGCTAGACTGTTCCACACTATCTAAGATGTACGGGGTGCAACTTTTAGACACATGCAGCACAAATAAATATGCTCAACGTTTCTCTCAAATACTCTTACACCATCAGGTCATACAGCCTGACCTTTTTCTCTTAGACAAAAAGGACTAACATATTCAAATCCAAATTTAGATGCAGATCAAGGAAGACAGCAGAGATCTGCATTTTTGCACCTCTAAATGGGCTCTCACCATTTCCATGTTTGGCTTATTTCCAGACTTCAGCCTAGGAATAATGTTCAGAGACATCTATATCGCAGTAAACACTATACAGCTGATGTAAAGGCAGAATATTTTGGGATGGTAATGTTTAGATTTTATAGGAACAGAAGTATTAGGAGATACTACTTGACTGGTTTATAAATACCAGAGAAAGACCAAAGGGTAAAAAGCAACGTAGCATTTGTGTTTCCCTAATAAGGCTAAAATTAATTAATCCATAACCACCTCAGTCTCCAAGATTTCCCAGACAAGATGATTCCCATCCTTGACAAACTGCTGTCCATTACAGCTCCTCAGATTCTCATGATGGCAACAGCCACAGCATGGGTGGTTTACAGTCCATTTGTTGTTTGTGTTCAGAGCTTTTTAAAGATTTTTGTGTTTCTGTTTATTATAATGCATTTAGTTTTCTCTGATTTTCACTTCTATCTGTGCCTCCTGCTTTCTGTGACCAGCTCCAGGTATTTTTCTCTGCAAACTCTGCAATTTTCCCCTCTTTTTGCATCCCTGCAATTACAATAATAATAAAGACTTTGCTGTACAATACCAATCTAACAGTGTGGCATCCCATGGAGGAAAAAAAAAAAGAAAAAAGGGCTAATTACAATACTCCTAATACTCCTTCACCCTTCTTGCATTTACTTCTCTTTATTGCATCTGTTCATGCTGCTTTTAACTCCCTGATGCAGTAAATTCAGTGGCATTTAAAAGCATTTATCACCCCTCAGTTTTGAACTGATTTCTGCCCCCATGTAGCTTCCTGCTCACAAAATAGCAGCTGCAAACCCTGCAGTCACCCTGGGGGTGGAAAGATAGGCATCCTCTTCTGAGGCTGAATAATCAGACAGTGGGGGATGTGAAAGCTCCCTGGAAAATGCCAGCTTCTCCAGGGAGGCTTTGTCATGATTACAAGCCCTAGTTTGCCCGAGGAAGAAAAGCCCCAAGGTTGCTCCCTAACCCAGGACCCGCACAAAGCAGGGTATTGTACACACCACTGACCCATTCGATCAGCTCGTGGCTTTTACTTATTCATGGAAATACAGCAGTTCAGGACCTGGCCTTAAGTCTCAAGTGTCACAAAGCATAGTGTGAAGCCTCACCCACAGTACGAAATACTTGTGGGGCAGCATGGAAAGAGAGTGGTTAAATAAGAATACATCTTAATTTCTCCACTTTCTAGGAACTATGCTTCCTGCTTTCTGTGACCAGCTCCCGTTTTTGCTCTGTGATCTCTGCCATTTTCCCTCTTTCCATCCCTGCAGTTACACTAATAATGAAGACGTTGCTGTAAAATACCAATTTAGCAGTATGGTATGCCATGGAAGTAAAAAAAAAGAAAAAAGGGCTAAATACAATGATTCCTCAGACCAAACTTGTCTTAGACATCCTGCAACTAGTTATTTTCCATCTGTTTAAGAAGTGTTTCCATACTGAGATAACCTTACAGCATTTATTCAGGTTAGCTCCCCACCAAAGAATATAAAGAAATATGATACAGATAAAGTAACTTAATTAAGGCATTTTCTTTCCAAAGGCCTTTCCCCCTTCCTTTGAAAGCAGAACGACAGAAAGCTTACGAAAAGAAAAGTGAAATGTAAGATGAAATGTAGGTATTGCATATACTGCATGGGACATTCATGTTTGTATGGTTCTTGAGAGCCCACAACAAAGCAATTCTTCTGTTAAATCTTTAAAGCCAGATCACAATCCCTCTTTTACTCTGTTTTCATCTTTTTATTGTGAACTTTTTAGAGCTCACTGTTTTGATATATTGGGACTCAGGCTGTCCTGTCTCAGTATCTGAATCAATACCTTCTGGACAATTTGCATGCTAATCAGTTTCTCTAATGCACAAGAAACCTAAAGGGACTTCCCAGTAGGCAATGAATCTCAGAGTTTTTTTGTTTATTTTTTATTTTGTTTGCACAAGCTGGAACAGCCTACACATTAATAAGGTCTACATTATTTTTTGTGCCTGCATCTGCACCCTTATTAATATTTCCGTTTGAGTCACAAATGGTAAATTTAAATAGCCATGGAGTTTTATGGCTATTCTTCTTAATTAGAAAAAGCCCTTCGGCTACACAGATGTTTTACATGAACTCTTGAAAATAAACCCTGTGGAACTAGAACTGGGAGCTCTCTGCCTTTGCTTATTCCTTGAGGAGAAAGAAAGGTCAAATTCCTGTCAAATACTTCTATTCCCAAGACCAAGGAGACACCACCTTGCCACCACAAATTATTAATATTACTTATTATTGAGTAAATGAAATGCACAGTGCCAGGCACAGTAACAAACATTTCAGACACTACTTCACATATCCAAAAGGAAGCTCCATTTACAAATGCAATAATGGACTTACTGTGAAAGAATTACCTGTTATACTAAATTTAAGGGTTTGTATCAGTTTGAATGAGCAAGTTGAAATCACCATTTGACAACATTTAAAACCAAAACAACCATAACCTATGGAATTCTGTTTCCTTTTTTTCCGAACTGTATCCAGTCAAGTAAACAAACAGCTGAACCAAACTAAATTAAATACATTATCTTATAATGTGTTAGATGTTAACAGTTAAATGCCTTTTACTAATTTATTTTCAAAAAGTAGTTTGGGCTTATTTCATTGTGTGTTTGTTTTAACTGGTGAACATGATAAAAAGAAGAAACTCGTGAATAACTAAAAGAATAGCAAATGGAAATGAGAAGCCTTCCAAAATCTTCAGGATTTCCTCATTTCTTTTCTTCCTCTAGGACCTTTGCTTTCTAAGTTAGATGCTTAACATCTATGTGTTTTTGCTAAAAGTAGTTTAAATGAAATATATCTCAGAATGTCACTGTGCTGGAAAATCAAAGCCATTTCATAATTTAAGTTAACCACAAGGGGGAACCCGTGCTGTCCGAACAATGATATTTCGCTGGCCTGTGGGGAAAAAAAAAGTTGGCTACAAATTTAACATACATAACCATTATTAACCAAGTACATTTCCTAGTTTACAGCACTTACTGTCTATAATAAAACAAACTAAAATCAAATTTAATCAACTGTATTTGCTGGATTCCATACAAGTAAGCTTTGATATTCCTGAAGTTTAGTAATATGTCATTGTACAATTACACCTAATAACACAAGGGAGGGACTTTTGTGCAGCTGAAAGCGAACAAGTCCGTACAAAGCCTGTTAAAGAAAAAATTCCAATTTTGGATCTTTAAAGGTAAATTCTGTTCCTCATAAAGAAATAAAACTCTGCACTATAAAACTGGAGACAGCAATGAGTTCTAGCAACATGGGCAGCTAAAAATAGAACTCAAGTGGATTTTAATGCTGGAAGCTTCAATGCTGACTATGATTTCAGTGATACCAAACAGTGTGTCTATGCCCCAAAACCAGGCCATTTTAGAAGAAAAACGTAAATGAAAGGAAACCAACATTTTTATTAGCTTGAGAAAATTAATTTCAAAAGCTGATAACTTCACCATGTCAGAACAGGCTGTAAGCAGTGGAAATCCTGACAATGGGATGCAATATACCACTGACCGCTGCTTGTCAGGGATAATTTGACGTGGAAACATAAGCAGCCACTTTCATCTGGAACACCACTGCAGATATTATGTGGTTAAACAGGTGTGCATGTATTCCATAAAAATCTTTGCAGCTATCAAATAAAATCTCAATGCTTCTACAGATGTGCTGCCCAGAAAAGAGGAATCACTGTACTCATTACAGAACTAATGTTCAATGAGCCACAGAGCCATCCTGGACTTCTTCCCAGGTGATGGACAGAGTTTCTCAGCACCTTGTTACAAAGCCCTCTCTGCATTATTTGTGCCCTAAAATTCAAATCACTAAACAAAGGCAATTTGATCACAAAGACAAATCTGCTAATGTGGGAGTATGCCACGTGAAAATCTCTGCTCCAGCAGCTGAGGGCCACGGCCACACTGGAGATATTCCTCCTGCTCTTTAACACGATTCAACAGCCTAAATTTACACATCAAAGGATGCAAGGGTTACATACGATCGAGATCTGTGCCTGGATCGCCGGTAGTTTGGGTCTGCCTGGGTTTTCCCCTTCTGCCGCCGCAGCACAGCTTCCCACTGAGGAGCCGAGTCAACCATATCATTCTCCTGCCGCAATCTGTGAAAGAGGTACCAAGACTTTAGTCTGAGGGCAGGATGCTCTGAGAAGCAATGGGGCATTTCCAGCCCCACTCCCCAAAAAATCCAGCTCTTGCAATGCTGTACTTAACCTTTCTAAATCTTGCTAAATGTTAACTAATGCTCCCAACTGCATTAAAGTGTAAAAACTATATTAAAGAAAACTCGCTGATTTCTTATTTAGAAACAGCATGAGCCAAAAATGTAACAATCCATGCCTTTAAGAACAGACACACAACTTGCATTCTTCTTCCCAGTCCAAGCCAAACATTGGAATTTTTTCCCTGTTTGCATATTCCCCTCTACCTCATCTGCACGAAATGGGAGACACACATCATGCTACATCTACTACTACAACTTTCACAAGCACTTTACTTCAGCATGCACCTTCCTAGGATCCAAGGAAAACCCACTCGGTGAGTCCCCACTCAGAAGAATCATCCTTTCATCCTAACTTGCAACAAAGCTCAGGATGCATGCAGATCTCCATGGCACTTCTTCCCCACCATCCCCTGAGGGTTTGGTCCCTGTCATGGCTTGTGTAGATCTCAGTGACATGCTATGCCTTTTATTCCTTCTTTTTTTTAAGCTGGTTTGTTTAAAATAAATTATTCATTAATGGAATGCATTACTGATTGAGCCAAATATCAAAATCCTGTCAACTCAGCACATTTGTTAGAAGGCTGCAGTAGTTCCACAATGCCACAGCCCTCCAGGCAGCAGCGCTTGACCAAAGTTCCACAGATGCTTTGCACAGTTTTGAGGTTGCACATATCACTGCTGGGATGAAGTGCTAAGGTGGTGGAGCAAATGGATATGCTTGGTCACAATAGTGATTTTAAAATTCAGCAGGGATTTCAAAACATCCCTGGAAAATATCTCCCAAGTGTGGATTGTCTGATCAGATGGCATGACTGGGATACTGCAGAAACCAGAGGGGAAAACTGACAGGTACCACAAACAAAGAAGCCAACAGAGATAAAAGGATTACACTGGAGACCTAGGCAATGCAAAGTATGTTGTTGTTGCTCTTCACTTCAGATGTACTTTTTCTCTTTGAGTTTTGAATTGTATCAGGCTAAACCAGCTACACAGGCTTCTGCTTTTCCTTTAATCAGATCTTCTCTCACATGCATAATGAATTTTGAGCTCAATCCCCATCTACTGTAAACAGACACAACCCTACCAAATGGTATGAAGCATCTGGAGAAGACTGCAACCTCAGGTTTTGATTTATAAGCAAATCTTTTAAAATCTGTAATCTGCTGACAGGTATTAACATAAACTTCTATCTAAGGATTTAGTAGAAAGACACACACAGCAACAAGTAATGAGTTGTGATTTTCATCCCAAATAATCCAATTTGTGCAAACAGCAATCATCCCATATGGTATAGACACCACCAACTGCCTCCCACACACAGCAGTCACTTGCACAAAAATACTGAAAATCTAAATATATAAAGTTAGCATTGCAGCTATTAAAACAAGTAGTATCAGCAAAATCAGAGTACTGTTGCACCACAGCAGAACTTACTAGATAGAGACATGAAGAACATACATTTTGCAGTTGCAAAGAAAGGTAATATGCTCACATTTATCAAGGTAAAAGATGACCAAGGTACCACAATCTCTACATTATTTGAATGCATTGTTCAAATTCTAATAATTTTGGGGCAAATTTTTTAGGGTTTTGGTGACAGAAGTGACCAAAAAAATGCTGAAAGAAATTTAGTTCAAATCCTAAATTTCTGTTTAAAGGTACTTTTGAATAAAAACTGTTGCCCTTGTACTGAAAGCCCATTACAGTTTTCCTTTCAAACTTTTCACTGAGCACTGGCACAGGCTACCCAGAGATGTGGTGGCATCTCCATCCTTGGAGATACTGAAAAGCTATGTGGGAGTGATCCTGGGCTGCCAGATCTTGGTGGCCCTGCTGGAGTAGTGGTTGGACCAGGTGGCACTCAGAGGTCCCTGCCAGTTTCAACCATTCAGTCATTCTCTGATTCTAATCAGATGCATCTTCTAAGTGTAGCCAGGAAGGAAAGTATGTTTGAGTACACACTGTCTGCTCCTTTAATCTATTTTTATCTACATAATAAATGTTGACCGCAGGATTGAAAACGCAAATGCATTTCTTCTGTGATTGAAATATGCTCATCACAGGTTCTTTTTCACTTTCATATGAACATCTGCTTATGAGAAAACATTTATATAATGGAGTGAAACCTCAAAGGCTGAGATCAGGTAAAAAAAATTTCCCCAAGATTTTTCTAGTTTTCTACCTTCAGAAGCTCTCATCCACATTTTTGGTTTTCTCTGATAATTTATTTTCTTCTGGCAAATAGTTCACAATGATCTCTTGTCATGCGAGCAATATATTCTACTCTACTGTGACCAGAAGCAGACTTCTTTGGTTAATGTGAATAGTCACTATTTTTTTTTTTTCAATAAAATTAAACACTTTTGTTTCTGGTTGTGTCAGGGACCTGATCATGCAACAGCAGAAATTTGGCTAACAGCAGTTGCAAGTCTCATTATAATGTCCTATTTAACCCTGGCTGGCTCATCTCTGAAAACAGGAGAGCTACTCAGTGCCTCTGACCTTCCAGCTTATGTTCCTGCTATGGCTGCTAACAAAATGCAGAAATTCATTATAACTGGTTGCTTTCCTGTACCTGCTCACAAGGAACACATCTCAGACTTCCAGCTCATTTGTTTAATCTAACACTGATAATGATTTTTTTTTCTGCTCAGATTTCAAGTGATCACCTAAGAACAAGAGATGCTGAAACATTAACATCTTCATTGTATCTTCCATTTCTGAAAATGTGAAAAGCTTAGAAACAACCAAAAAAAATTTTTTTTTTTGCTTTTTATTTTTAATTTTTTTTTTCCATGAAGTGAGGAAGTGTAGGTAAAGGCCCTTTCATTCTTCAAAAAATGACGAGCAGTACTTAATCCTTCTTACAATTCAGTCTTTATATTACGAGGAGTTCTTAAAAACATTCCTGTGGTCAGTCTCTAATTTCTTTCACTTGCTTGTGGAGCTCCCTGCAAAAGGAGTTTTACAAGAGGAAAAAAATCTGGCAAGAGTGTTCTGGGAGAAAGGGATACAAAATACTATTTACTGCTGATCACTGAAACTACACTGACTGCATGTCATTTAAACTTCAGCTGGAAAACAAACCTTCCATGCACACTAGGTTATTGTTAGCCAAGTACCCTACAAGACTGTGCTCTAATTTAGGTAAGCTTCAAAGAAATCTCATGTCTCAGATGTGCTTCATGCCATCCCACGTGAGTGTCACAATGATTTTTTAACATTTCTCTAACTACTGCAAGTCATGCTGAAAATGTAATTATACTGCATACTCCTGCTGCACTATCTAGCATGCAATTATTTCTGAGATCTGGAAATCATTTATCACTAAATATAAGACATAAAGAAATTATGGCAGGTCACGCAGACAGTAATTTAGAAACTTTGCCTTAGAGCAGTTCCTCTTTTGTCTAGTAACATTTCTTTTGCACTGTGTTTATGCAATATGAGGAAATTCTATGTGCTTTTAAAATGTATATTTTCAGAAATACCTCCAGGATGTTGTGATATCCAGTGCAACATAAAATACACAGCTTTGAAGGGAATTTATAGGAAATCAGTAATTACACCATCTTTTTCATATCAGCAACAAGAAAAATAGAATATATAATACAGGACTTGTTAGCATCACCTGATATGAACTATTGCTATCCTATTAAAACTTGATGCTGTACGCCTTTTGGGTTTGGCCCACACCTGACATTTTGGAAAACAGAATCTTTATACAATTAGGTACATGAATTTAAAAACAGCATTGAGATTCATATCCACTAAAAATATTTTTTACTTCTCAACAGCTTATTTTCTGCTTGAAAAAATCTGCACTTGAATTTGTGAGGTAAAGTATATGCTGAGAATATCATTATCAAGATATTATTCACGTTATTTGCATTTATACTGCATGTCTTTTGTAAGTATGTCCTGTACTTGATCTTGTGGTTCATTACTGAGCTCTTCTCAAGGAACAGGAGAGCAGGCATTCATTGCATACAACTATAATGAGGTATTCTGGCAATTATCACACTTCTTATTCAGAAAAGGGTCTTAAGCTGCCTCAGGAGGACTCTATACACATAAAATATGTTAGATCCCTTCTGACTAGGTTTATCTGAGAAAAGTCCATCTCCATTTGTATGTTTCATATCTTCCTGTCTAAAATATTTAATGTATTGTCACCTGTTTCTCTTCTTCCGATGCTCTCTGTTGGAATTTTCAGATTCACTGCCACTGCTGGTGTTACAACGGGACCGTGACCTGGAGAAGAGAAAAGCAGCGAAGGACAAATTTATCTACTAAGACCAAAATTATTGCAGTGCTAAATGAGGAAAGAACAACACTGACTAATGTAAAGACATTAGTCAGAAAATCAGAATTAAAAGACTCTGGCGTGCTTGTCTACACCTGCAAGTCATATTATCTTTTTCTTATTAATTGATTGGGAAGAACTGCTTCAAAACTAGTGCACCCAGAGTGTAGTATGAGGTGAGTGCTATTTTCATTTTGAATAATTTCACTCTTTCATTTATTTTTTTTAAATGTGTATTATTTTGTGATTCAGCATTCTTTTTGTGAATGCTACATCAATTTGTTTCTTGGAAGCATGAAATGTTTCATCTCTAACCTGTATGGCTCTTTTCTTCTTGCAAATTCTGGTACACCCAGCAGAAACTATACAGAATTCTGGGTTTGCAGGCAAAACAAAATACTCACAGATCTATATATTCTATTCCCCTCAGCTCCCATCCTGTAAGTTCCTAAGCCCTCAGTCTATGGAGTATGTTCTCCTCTCTATCCTAAATTAGAAAATCATTAGTTCAAATGTCTCCCACTCAAACAAAAATGTGTTAGAAGAACAGAACAGCTAAAGTCTAGAAAAATCAGCTTGTCTGAAGGGAATGTTAGGCAGCATGGAAGAAACACCAGTAGCACTAGGATTCTGCTGCTCTTTATGGAAAAAAGAAGGCTGCATTACCTCCAGGCAAACTCCTCTCTACTACCTGAGACCCTTAAAGCTGTGACTGCATTTTGGAGCACACAAGCCAGCTGTCAGGGCTTTGGTCCTAGAATCCAGTACTCTGCCACTCTACCACTGGCTAAAACTGGCACTCTCATCAAAATCTGGTTTGGACCATTTGTTCTTCAGTGTGAGGGTGGCTTGGGAATGGTCGGATTTGATGATCTGAAAAAGGTCCTTCCCAACCTGCACATTTCTGTGATTCCATGAAAGCCCCCAAAGACAGACGTGTTTCTCCGATACACTGACAGCCCATCTGATTAATGAGGAAAGCTGACTGATATTAACAGGAGCTGGTCTACGTGGATTTAGGCTGTCTGGAGTTGGAATCAGTGATGGTTTTGCTTCAACGGAAAACAGAATCTTTCTTCTGAGGTCTCTGGCCATGAAATAGGAGCTATAAGGGGATAACTCCTGATGATGCTGGTAGAGATACATATTTTCTTATGCCTCATGGCTTTTTTTTTGCTCTGTGATAGCTGACATTTCTAAGAGGACAGATTTGTTAAACTACACCTCAAACAAGCCAAGGAGGGAAAGGAGTTCCTTAGGAGTAAGTAACAGGTAAGGGGAAGCATTTAATGACAAGGTAGGAAGTTCCTGACTAGCACCTGCCCACTGCAAGTTGTAAGGGTTCAGGAAGAAGAGTCCAAACAGGATGAGAGATTGTTCCCAAGGAGCACCACAGATGCAGCATGGAGCTGTTCTATCTGGCCAGGAATACCTGACCAAAGGACTAGAGGACTAGGACTAAATAACCAAGACACTGTTACAGACATCATTCTGACATTCATGAGAGCCTCGTGAAATTCTCATGAAATTCTCCATAATACCAGGGAATTATAATTGCCTCCAACAAATTGCTGAGCCTTTAAATCCTGTGGTCTATGGAGTCTGTTCTCGCCTCTCTTCTAAGTTAGGAGATATCAGCTCAAATAGCTCCCATTCAAACAAAAATGTCTTAGAATAATAGGACAGCTAAAGCCTAGGAAAATCAGTTCAACCCAGCTCGCCTGAAGGGAATAAATCTGGCAAAGTGAAATTTCCCCCAGAGAAGGAGCTTCTCTCTGTTGGAAAAGATACCAAGGTTTTGGGGTTTGTTTTTTTTTTGTTTTTTTTTTTGGTTTTTTTTTTTTTTTTTTTTTGGGGTTTTGGTTTTTTTTTTTTAATTTTATTTTACAGCTTTAGTGAGGTTTGTTTGCCTTTGCCCTGGAGGAAGAGAATTGATGTTTTTTTCAGGGCATTGTTCCACCAGGAAAGGTCTGATGAATTTACCATCTAAACAGTCTGGGAGTAGCACAGAAGAAAGACAAAAGACAACGACCATTAGTGACCATCAACTCTAAACAGCAACCCTGGCATGGTTGGAGACACCTGGTCTGGGAAAGGAAAGATAGGAATGAGAACCATATTAGCATTGGAGGCAAACAAATTCATATCCAATAGAAAACCAGATACTGAGAACTACATAACTCGGAGCCAATGAACATTGAACCAATGAATCTCTATGGGTTTTCACTGTATAAAGTCAGTGAAAAATCTGGTAAAGTGTATGTGTGGAATTATTTCTTCTGCACATCCATGCCACAACCGTGAGGATGAAATTATTTCTGTTGCACATACTGGTCAGAACAACATCCTAGCCAGAATGAAGTAATGCCTTGATTCTCTAATACTAATACACTAATTCTCTAATGCTAAAACTGTAGTTCCCACAGTTTCAGTGACATCCCAATCCCCAAACTTCATGTTCATAATTTAAAGCCAGGGTATCCATGCTGCCAGCTAAAAACACACTTTTCTGGGTGAAGTTCAAAGCGGGAATAAAAAATATGTGTGTTAATACAGAAAACTGTAACCCCAAAGGAAGAAGGAAGATTAAAAGATGGTGTCAAAAAGAGTCACCCAAGCACAATGGAAGAGTTAAGAGCAATAACTGCTCTAGAATGACAGCAGACCTTACACAGCCAGAAGTATACCTTTCCCCTGGCCAGTCTTATCAGATGTTCAATAAATATACCACTAATATCGACATCAATAAGTCATTTGAACAATACTGGTTTTTCACACTTCCAGCCAGAAAGAAGTCAATCAGTTTACAAGAGACACAACAAATACTGCCAAGGAGAGGGCCTGGAGGGCTGAGGAAAGCTCACATTCTGGTTAAAATGAGAGGAGAATAGCCAAACTGTGAGGAAGTGGAGAAGGTCTTTTGCCATGTACAATAACAAACATGTGGTAAGAGGTCCCTTCTGAGCACTGAGGTTTTCCACCTGAGATGCTTAACTAAATCTTCCCAGTTTTATGTGCTGGACATCTATCACAGGACTACCACTGGCAGATTGTAATGTTAGCATACTTCCAAAAAATATTGTGTTATCTTATAGTAAGTACAAAGTACATGAGCACTTTCTCTGGCTTCCTGTGATTGTCCCGAGATGTTTGTATCTCTGCCAGAGCTCCTTTCCTGTGCTTCTGCAGTGATTCAGATCCTGGGAGTGCCTCCTCGCCTTCCCAAGCTCCAGGGCCTCTGACATTGAAATGCATTCCATTGTCTCCTTATTCCAGCAGCCCAAGCAGGAGCACAGGAGGAGCATTAAACAGTCATGACAAGCAGATGTGGCAAAAATCTGTCAAAAGCTGAGGTTGTTGAAGATCACACCCAAATTCACACCTGCATTTTATTTGAAATGTGATAACTAGTCAAGTCTGAAATGGAAGATGGGGGCAGGGAGGAGAAGCTTAAGAAAAATTTGACAAAAAATGTACAAGACAGCAAAAAGACCGTCAGGTGTTACATATGTCTTTGCACTTACCTCTGGCAGGACAATTCATCTCAGATGATAGCACACTTGCTTGCAAAACAGATTAATTAAAAGTGGGTAGAGAGGTTGGAGAAGTAAAAACAAATCTGCAGATCCAAAATCCAAAAGCTAAAGGTTCTGGAACTGACTTTCAAGTTGCCAATAAACCCTTAGGTAACTTTCACAAGCTGCTTCTAACATGGAGTAGTAACAATGTGCTGCAAGACTCTGCTGTGATGAGGCTATGGCACAGAGCATTTTAGGAAAATATAAGAAAAAATAAAACAAACCTTTTATACATTCAGGAAGATGAGGGAAAAGGAAGGAAAGAAAGGAATGCAGTGAACCAAAATATTACTAGTACCTTCACTTTCATTTCATAGCTGCTATAGATCACATATTTACCTTCTCCTTTGCTTTAAATCTGAATCTTCACCACTGTTTTGATTTTTCCTGTGACAATAAGGAAGTTTTAATGAAGTGTCATAGAGTTACTTAATACAAATACACAGAACTACCCATAAAAAAACCCAAAGTGTTTTAGTTTTTTAATGGATTTTTCTTTTTCCGGTACGACGTCAGGTAGAGAAAATAGGGCACGTGCTTGTTTTAAACCCTTCAGGACACCTTTACAATAAGCTTTGAAAGCATGGTTCCATTCAAGCTCTCACTGCAAACCCCTGACTTGCAAAATTAAGCAGAGCATGCTGCCTTTTAGAGTATCCTACTGTTTCCAACATAGAAGAGCCTGGTGGTTTCTTCTTAACTCCAGTAAAGGATGAATTAACAGCACAGCTATTATTATTATTACCAGGTTGAAAAAGAATAAAACCAAGACTCAGGAAGGCATAATTAAGTTAAAATCTACCTACTATTGTCAGTCTTCATAGTCTCACACATGAGATAAGACTTTTAAAAACATCTTGTTCATGTGGTAGCTCAAGAGAAAACTTGCTATTGGCATGACCATCTGTCCACTGACTAGATCAGCCCAATGCAAATCCCAGATGATAAAAACAATTTCCTGCTTCACAGTGCACTTTTATTTCTTGATATGAGAGAGCTTTGCACTGTACATCTCTGCTCTTTTGTTTTTACAAAACCAAAAGAGCCCTTCTGACAACTAAGATGCACCAGAAAACCTGTGCTGGTTTTGTCTGCAGTAGAGTTAGTTTTCTTCACACTGGCAGGCATGGGGCTGTGTTTTGGGGTTGTGCTGAACACAGGGTTGAAAATATAGATATGCTTTTGTTATTGCTGAGCAGGGACTGCACAGAGCCAAGGCCACACTGGGGAAGAGGCTGGGGGTACGTGGGATGCTGGGAGGGGACACAGCCAGGACAGGTGACCCCAGCTGACCAAAGGGATATTCCAGACCATGTGACATCAGGCTCAGTGTATAAAGCGGGGGAAGGAGGAGGAAGGAGGGGATGTTTGGGCTGGTGATGTTTGTCCTCTCAAGTCACCCTTGTGTGATGGGCTGTGCTCTGCTGGAAATGGCTGCACACCTGCTTGACAATGGGAAGCAGGAAATTCATTCCTTGCTTTGCTTTGCTTGGGTGCATGGCTTTTGCTGTGTTTCTAACTGACAAGGTTCCTATCTCCTACCCTTCTGATTCTCTCCCTGATCCTGCTGGCAGGGGAATGAGTGAGGGGCTGCCTGCCTGGCTGAGGTTAAAATGTGACAAAATCAATTCAGGAAACACATTGCTGTTAGCATCTACAAGGGCTCTATCCAACAGAGCAAATAAACATAACTCCATTGCCTGACAGTTACACTGATTTATTTGAGGCCACTAAGCATGCACTATGGGTGAGTTTCTTCTCTCCTGTCCCAGACAGCTAATGGCAGATAAAAGGTCTGAAACAGTTCAGAAACCTGACAAGGATAAAAGCTCCACATCAAATTGGATTTCCTCATCAATATAGCTGCATTGTCAGAAACCCCTTTGCCAGCTCTGGCTTTGAAGGCCAAACAAGGTACTCATTTCAGAGCTGTCAGAAAGAGATGTAACTCTCAGGTGCTGGCTCCTAAAGCAGTTCAAAAAGACTGCAATGAATATGGCACAGTATATGTGTTTGTTTATACTTCATAACAGATCACAGCACCAGGCAGGGTGCCCCAGTGATGAAAGCAGCTTCTCAGCAGGACAAATCATTCAAGGAAACACACGGTCTCTCAATACTCTATTGCTTCAGCACTGTCCCTGTAATTTGCTTTTTTGACATGGTCAAGGACACACAGCACAGAATCTCCACCCAGTTTATTTCAATTCAGCTTGTACCAATTGAAATTGTCACCAGTTTTTGCTGGCATCCTCTCTATTCCAAAGTGGTTCATATACGGGACTTTTGAAGACAGCTTTATGGCTCATTTATGTAATCCTTGGGGCAGTTAAAGTAAAAAAATGTACTTATAACACTGTTTTGAAAGCTCATTGCCAAGCAAGCAAATTCATCAGTGCTTTCATTCACCCGGCAAAAAGAGTTCCAGTAACTAAAGGAATCTTTCCCATGCCAATAATGCAACTTTTCACATTTTTAGCATCATTTTCCAACAACAGCACACAAGCAAACAAACTGACCAAAGCTTCCTTTCCAAAAAGAGTTGTGGTATTCTTGGTCAGGTGGCTTATTTACTAGAAGGTGGGGTTTTTTTACTGATCCCTGGAATAGCCCCTTTCCCAGGACTCAGCAGTTTCTACACAGAAAAGCTGACAGTCATTAATCTTGAGGCTCTTACCTCCTTCGAACTGGCTGTCCAGACTCATTCTCACTGCCACCAGATGGGTTCCTTCGGCGAGAGTAAGGAAACTTTGGTGATTTATTGCGGTCACTGGCAGAATTATACAGTCCACTGAGATTTAAAAGGAAGACCAAAGAGTCAGCTTTAAAATTTCCAGGGCAGTTAGGCCAGCTGAGATTCAGCTCACAAAAATGAAAAGATTCATGCACACACAGATGCAGCCATGTACAGGTGAGCATTCCGCTATGTGTGTTTTTCTGAGTGTTAGTGGGAGTTCTATGTAAATGCAGATAGTACTGCTTTCTAGCAATAAATTTTTCACACTGGACCTTGAAATGTATGAGAGAGACCTCTTAGCATTGCCAGGTCAACAACTCTAAGCTTTAAAAATATAGATTTTCATTTATTGACATTCCTTTACCATAATAAAATTTCTGTGCTTTAGTATGGCGTATCCAACCCAGAGCTAGGTATTCTTCATGTTTTCTACGGATGTAAGTATGAAAACTTCCCATGTTTTGTCATGGCATTTGTCTTCATCACAGAGCTGATGCTTGGGAACAAGAAACAATTCTATCTCCATTTCTCTTCTGTTCATCCACACAAACCTCTACCAATGATGTGGAGATGTTCCAATCTCCAGCTTTCTTTCTGCTTTCCTAAAAGCCTCTGGCCTTCAAATTGAATCCATTCTTCTTCATCTGCCTCTGCAGTCAGCTGATTATAGCACTGCTCTGCACAGATGAAAAGTTCCCACAGCTCATCTCAATGAAAATTATTAAGAGCTGTGAAAGCCTCTGTGCAACATCCAGTCTGCTTATGTGTCTAAACCTGCACAGTGCTTTAGAATTAACAGTTTTGCAAAAACTCAATTCTACCATTGTTGGGCTCCTGCAAGATCAAACCTCCTGCTGTCCTGAGAGCAACTGAAACACTGGAGACATAAAGTGACAAGATGATACCACTTTTCTAAATATAACCAAAGAAAGGTCTGTAGCAAGGGAATATTTGCTCGCTGCTTTGTTCCTGTTCCTGAAACTATTGCTGTTTACAGAAGGAGCACAAGGGGTAAATCATCAGGGCACCCCAAATGACACATCAGGTACAGATCTAAATTGTCACAGAAAAGCAGGACCATTCTGGATTACACTTTACGTGCTGTCTGGTTTAGTAGCCTGTTTCCAACAGCAGCTGTAAACAACCACCTACAGGAAGCAAAACCCTGAAGGCAGCTCCCCAGTGCTCCCTGAGTCCCACACCATTCCCAGTCCAGGGGACTTACTGAGCCAGCTGCTGCACCTCTGTCTTCACAAGCCCTTTAGGATTTTTGGTCCATGACTCACCCAGCTTCCCCCAGGAATTCACCGCCTTGCTAAGGAGGACCATGGGTCCCCCACTCATGGTAAGTCACTACTGCCTGCCTTTTAAACCACCTTCAATAACTTCACCTGAAGATCCTTTGTTCTTTTACTCAAAAAATAGAGTCCTGGTCACTTCCTCTTTTCTCAGTACGACTCTTGATATTCTATGTCATCCTCTGAAATTGCCTCTTACAGTCTGAAGGAAGATTCCTTTCTGCCTCTGCCCTTTCTCCTTATACAGATTTACTGCAGAGCCTTTTGCATTTTTGATCACCTTTGCTGCTCCTCTCAAAGCCTATTCCTTTTCCTAAGATAAGAACATTGGAACTGATTCCAAAATGTGATCCACCAGTTTATATAATGATTCTGTTCTCTTGCTTTACAAATAATTGCTAATTGTTTTTCTGACTGTGACACAGCTGATGTTTTCTTTGTTATCCGTAATATCCACAGCACTTCATATTAACCAGAAATCAAGGATTACTTTTTTTGTCCTTATGTATCTCTCTTTACATTTTTTGACTCAACAGAATCTACCCATCATTTACACTAGGGGTCTTTCTGCCACTCTTCACAGACAAATTTCTCACTATCCTAAACAATTTTGTATCATCACTAAACTTTATTATCCCCTTTTCAAGTTCTTTGACAAATATTCTAAATATCAGAGTTCTGTGAACAGATCTCTGTAAAAAGCTACTGCTCACATCCAATCACTGGCTACCTCCTCTTACACATACTTTCCTGATTTTTAACTGTTTATTTATCCAGGAAATAACCTATCTGCTTACATGCAATACATATCTCTTATGAATCAAATAATACATTAATATATTATATTAATAACCTTCAACCTTCTGCTGTGGTATGATATTTATTACTGCATGATACACAAGACATTAAGTCTTGCCTTACCTTTGTGGGCCATTTTCCTCCCATGGAGCGCTTGTTTTACTTCTTTGTGTTTCTGGACTGTTTTCATTTTTCATCTTTTTAAAGCTAAATAAGAGTACAGATAAATACACATATATACATATATTTTTAAAAAATCCAACAAAACATTGCACACAGATTACATTTTCTTTTATGCTGACCACTTAGCATTTAATTTTAAAGCTATACAGTCATTAGAGAGATCTGCCCTGGCATATAGTTACTTCTTTGTTATGTGAAAGAGGGCAAAGAGCTCCTGTGTTGAAAAATCTCTCCTACAAAGAGCAAACATAAGGAGAAGGAAAAGAAGTAAAAAAAAAAAAAAAAAAAGAAAGAAAAAGGAGAGAGAGAAAAAAATAATCTCTGCAACCTCATAATTGCGTCAGCACTTAGTCAGAAAAACAGGTAATCCTGTCTCCAAATAAACATGAACAGATACTTAAGCAAGAAGTCTAACAGTAGGGCAAACATACAGCTCGACCTCATAGTCTTCCATAATATGCACTTAAAAGATTATTGAATCAGAGGCTTACCTTCTTTTTATTTTACAAAGCTCTAAATGAAACTTCTCTTCCATAGGTTTACTTAAATACCTTTAGAACATTTTTTAATTTTTGTCATAAATAGTGCCTAGTAGGAGTATATTCCAGTATCTGGATATGACATAAAAAATTATTTAATGTTATCTCAAAACTTCCACCTGGTTCAAAACTTCAATCCCTTTTTCCTGACTGTTTCTGCGATTATAGAAAGAAATAAAGAAAAACAAACAGCTATGAACAATGGCTCCCTAAACCAAAAACTCCACCCCTTAATTTTTTTTTACACATTTTTAACTGTCTAATCCCTTTTCCAAGTGAAAGAACCACAGACTACTTAATCTCTCCCAGTACGGGAGTCACCACATACCTCAGATTATCCTTATCGTACTTCTCTACGATTTTTCCAGGTGTACAGTTCATACTTTATAATCGGAGTGACAAAGTCAGGGGTGATGAAAACTATTCAAAGCATGGCAGATCACAGGTTCATAGGTTCACAGAGTAGCATATCCTTTTCATGCCCTCCCCAGTAAAGCCTTGGGTTTTATTTTGCCAGAAAAAAATGTTTTGTGAAAGAGCTGACTTCACTGACTGCTGCAAGGCAAAGTACCAGGACAGTCACCTGGCTTGAGACACATATCAGCATTTGTAACCAATCTCCCACCATAACTATGGGGATGGGGGAAAAAAGCAGTATGGTCCAACTCTTCCTTTATTCCTATCATTCCCACAGTGTCAGGTTTTACAGCTTCTGACCTATTAAAGTTCCCAGATAATTGCCACTTCAAATGCTGGGAAGTGGCTTCTAGCTGAAGCACAGCCCTGTCCAATGGCTCGGCAGAGCTTTTCCTGCAGCACCATCTCTAGAGCTCTTTTTCTGCAGTTCACCTGAGACAGAATGAGGCAACCGCATTGATTTCCACTAAGGTCATCAAACACTGCTGACAGCAACCTCATACAGTCATTAATACACCATATAGTTATAAAGTGCAACTCAAGCAGGAAAAATAAAAGCTTTATAGTTGCTTACAGAGAGGAGGATATAAACTGGGAGTTCTTTCCACTGAGCAGGAGGTGACAGACTCAGCTTTATGATGGAATTGTGGCTACTTAACTCACTAATCCACTTTTAACCTCAGCCTTTGATTACTACAGGTCACTGAGTTAATAATTTAATTCTCACAGAGTGAACAAAATGCAAAGCTACAGTAAGTCAGCAGAAAAATAAATTAAATTACACTTTATCAGGTAAATAATTTTCTTAATACTGCACCCATTAATTATTGACTTATAGGTGCATGCAATCTATTCCCAGGCTTAAAAATATGTGCTTATTACAGACTGAGCAAGTAGCTCAAATAAATATATTTCTGTCCCATATTGCAAAAAGGAATTGATTTGCACAACATGTGCTATTCAACAATACCTAGGCTGAACTTAAACAACTATGAATACTGTTTTCAAATCTTAAAAGGAGGAAGAAAATGTACCTAGGAGGTGAATTTACTGCATTAAATTCTGAAGTCATTATTCATTTGAGCAGACACACACTTTACAGAGAAAAAGCTAGAGTGTGGCAGCTCTTCAAATACCAGCAGTATCTCCAGGAATGTAGTTGCAAAAGGTACTGAGTTCATTCAAAGTATGTGAAAGGGTTAGGATCTGAAATTCATGTGAGATTTCATTGGGATGTTTTTATTGTTTGATAAATTTGATTTTATTTTATATATATTTATTTATTTTATCTGATTTTATACTACTTATACAGAAGTGATTAACTATAGATCTCAACAGTGAATTAGATGTTAAATATGAAAACTCAGCTTGTGAACACTACTGAAAGATGCTCTACAAGCATCACTAACAACTAATGCAAGAATTACACAGGATGGAGCAAACTTCCAAACTGTAAGTCCTACACAAATTTTGTGTGCTCCCTCTCACATACACAAAGCCTAGCATACCCAAAAGGTGTTTCATTTGCAGATAGAGACACAGAGAAAAACAAATCAAATCCTAAATGGAAAAACAATTTTCAGCTTTTTTTTTTTTTTCTGGAAGTGACTAACACTGTCTAAAACATGACTCAGTAAAGAATCTCCCTGTGAACTGCTTTTAATCTGTGCAGGTAAGAAAGTAAACTCAGTAACCTTAAACCTGTCATATTGAGAGCCACTTATTCTGGTTCTTCATCTAAAACCTGCCTATCCATTTTTTTTTTAACAGTTCATTGTTAAAAATTCTGTAGTAAAGCACTCCCATCCCTCCTAAAAACAAAGGTCTCTGCACCGTGGAATAATGGTATCCCTTGCTTTATATCTTTCTTTCTCCTAACAAATCTCAGAACACAATGGTGGGGTTGTCAGGGTCCTCTGGTTGTCATTGGTCCAGCTGCCTGCTCCAGCAGGGTGACCCAGACTCAGTTGCCCAGAACTATTCCCAAACACCTGTGGAATTTTCTCTAAGGGTGGAGACTCCACCACATTTCTGGACAACCTTTGCCAGTGCTTAGTCATCTGGACAGCGAAAAATTGCTTCCTGACATTCAGAGGGAACCTCCTGTGTTCCAGTGTGTGCCCACCTGGTCCAGTCACTGGGCACCATTGTAAAGAGCCTGGATCCATCCTCTTTGTGCCTTCCCTTCATGTATTTTTTTACCTCTGTGTTGTTTTCTACTTAATGGTTTAGCTTCAGCATGACCAAGTGGCAATCATAAACTTTCTTTAACACACAATTAGCATTATTTTCTAAGGGCTAGAATAGTGGATTTAATTTCCCTAAAAATGAGAAAGCAATTTGGCACAGCTCTTATTCTGGAGGCCAACTGTTCTAAATGTTAGGCAATAAAGAACACTATCCACAAAGTATTTACAATAGGTATTTTAGATCCTTTTTCAGAGTTCAGTCGAGATACCTAGTTTGTGAAGCCCACAGCCTCAATGCATAGGTAAGCCCAGTTAAGGGTTACTCAGTCAAGAAAAAAATCCAACTGTCAGGATTGCCAAGCATGTAGATACAGATATCTAGGCAATTAAACAAAAGTTAAGTATGGTGGTTTTGACTCACTCTTTTTGCAAGTTCACTCTTTTTCTGATTCAGACACATAAATTCCAACTAAAATTAGGGGTGGGGATACAAACCCCTTTCTGAATTTGAGCCTTACCTCTTCCTGTCAAATATGCTTAATAACCAGAGATATGCACTTCAACACTGATAAATTAGACACAACAGAACACACAAGTCCAGAGGAGCCCTGGCAATTCGCTACTCCTACAGATCAGGAACAAACATTATTTTTACCTGATTTTTACTACAATTTGAACAGTGTAATGGGTAATCACTGCAAGATTAAAAACCTGCTGGGAGAGAGCCCATGCCCAGCTCCTCCCTGGCACACACCCCAAGTTTGCCCTGTTCAGAGACAGAAGGTGTCTGTTCAGAGACAGAAGGCCCATGACCTGGGGCTCTGACAGCCAACCCACAGCTCCCAGGGGAGTAGCTAACAAGACTTCACAGCACTATCCTAACCAGTGCACTTTGGGTCATTACCTGGTTTTTTGCTATTTAAACCTGAGACTGTCTGCCTTCCCATTAACTTGTGCTGACTTATGGGTTTTCAAACCATGTGTTACCTGAAATCCCTGTTCCGCATTGATTGGAAGATCAGGGTTTTATTAAATCAAATACTTTGCAACACTCTCTGACTTTTGTCAGAAGATGATCAGATGATCCTGAACTCAAGAGCAGGATAAACTGATACTAATGATTACTAAATGTGTTCCTCTATCCAATGCACTGTACAACTTCTTAAAAACTGTAAGGAAACTGTGGATTACATACCTTTTCACTGGAGAAGGTGCAATAATTTTGGTAGTTCCTTCATTTTCGCCATTTGTTGTAATCTGGCTCATGTTCTTAGAACCTGGGGAAAAAAAAAAAGCCCAAAACAGTAGAATCCTGTAGCATAAATGATTGCAATATTACTCAGCATAATCAGCTACAGAGCAGCATGAGAGATAAAATGACAGACAAAATATCTGGTGCATGCTCATCTTATTAAAGGTGTGTGTGTATCACACCTTTGTGTCTTAGCCTTATTTCTAGTTGTACCAGGGCACTATAAAATTTAACATGAAGCACATTCATTACTCTTCCACATAAGACAGAGAAGTCTGATGCTGTTGCTCCCAAAGGTATACTCTGCCACTGTCAACAGAAGGAAATTCCCTGCTCAGTCAACAATGAGAATAAAGGTGTGAGGAAAATACAGTTTGGTTCCTGCTGGTGCTATAATTTCTGTTTCCATGCTATGCTGTTAATATCAATCTGTAATTTCCCTTCAGTTCACAGATTGTGTTTCTACCTAATTGTCAATTTCAGACATTTCTTACAAAATTATTGCCATCTATAGAAACAGATGTCAAATAGAGCAACAAAACAACATCATTATTGATGTAGATCTCCTCTGGACAAAATTCTGAGCATGTTCATTGAAGATAATATGATATCCTCTGGACACAAGCAACAACATCACAATGTTGTTAATATTGTGGTACAAACCCCAAGCCATTTTGACTGCTTAAAACAAAATTGTGATGTCTTAATTTAGGCTGTGAAAAGATTTTGCATGGTAAATTTTCCCCTCAGCCTCAGAGAAAGGATTTCTTCACAATCTCCCTCAACTTCACATACCACCACTTTGGTATACAAAGTCTCTGGACCCTACCTCAACACAAATACTTGAGATTTTCTGAGGCCTTTTGTCTGCTCATCAACTGGTTCTCTTACCAGTTAGATTTACCAGTCTTCTTCAGAAATCAGCAAATATATGACTTTTTCAAACAAAGGATTTGATCTCAGTACTTCACGTATTCCTCTGTGAGGCAGTTTTTGATTAAGTCACAGAAAGTCCTTGTCACTTAATGGAATAATAAAATCTTGTGCTCCAGAAACTATCATAGCAGTGAAACAACTGCCAGAAAAAGAGCCAAGGGTCAGATGATCTAAAAGTAATAGACACCTCCAGAAGTGACCTTTTGATATGTTTGGTAATATCCTTACCATTCTGCAGGCACCCAGTCACCTCTGGCTGTCAGGCCATAGTGGGTTAATTGGGAGTTTTCTGTCCACACTTATAGAAACTGCAATGATTGTCTCCAAGTATGTTCCACTTGCTGTATCTTTTACTGACTACAGTACTGTTCTACCAACTTATACCTCTGTATGATATAATTTTTTAATATAAAAGAACAGACTCCAAAACCACTGTCCAAACACTAACCCCCTTACAAAAACTTAAGTATATCACTGCTTCTTGCTCGCCAAGGCAACGGGCCTCTCAAAAATACCTTAGACAGGCAGAAATCTTGAACATATCATTCGTGGCCAGTTTCCGTGGTTGTTTATATTTTATTGGATAAGGCACTCTCAGGACTGAGTGCACTGCACTGAACTTTTCCAATGAAGTGAATGCACACACTTAATTCCCTTTTACAGCCATATGGACGCGGATTTGTCCATTCAATTTGAGCCAACTATTACATTTTTAAAAACTAAAGTGTCCAAAAGCATATCAGCCTGGCAAGTTAGTTAGCTTGTCATGCCTGTTTCTTATCAGGTAAAGCCACTTACTGGCATTATCTGGAACCAGTGTTTGTGTTTAAACCAAGTCATGAGAGCAGCAGATAGTGTGACCAAATGGAAAACATACTTTGCACCCTGGGCTATTGTAAGCCCACAAAAATGAATGGACTTTCATTTGTCTACACAGCACAGCCTACTCTGTGATAAGAGCTGTTTTTCTTGTTAGCTTCTAAGCCTGTAGCCTCAAGAGTTTGCTCATCTCACACCCCATGACTGAAATGCAGAAGTAGTCACACCCATCCTTTTACCTAACATGGGATTTTAAGTAAACTTTAAAAGTACCTAAATTAGGAAACAGCTAAAATCACCCCAAGATCCGTTTTCTCAAAAATCTAACTTTCAAATCCAATCTTACAGTTCTCTGGGAAAAGACTTTGGCTGGGCCAGACCAACAGTTCTACCTACCACGGCTACCAGTAGGGTAGTGACAGGCATCTGTGGCAAAATGTTTAGGGAATATCACAATACAGACAGTACTGTAATTGTAATGCCCAAACACAATTCTCCACCTGGCTTCTAAATCAGAATGGTAGCACTTATTTTACACTGATTTATACAACTACCCCACATGCAAAGGCAGGGACAAACCAAGTCCTCAGCTACAAAACAACAACAAAGCCTAAGCAATGTGTTTGCCACAACGGAATAAACTCAGACCCACAGCAACAGGTCTGGTCACATCAATGTTTGTCCTGAGAGGATGTTCCCAAGGAGCTTTTCATGTTCAGCACTCACCCAAATGAATAATGAACACTTTCACCCTGTGTTGTGAAAGCTGAACATTATCAGTCAGGTCCTAAGACAGTAAGATAGAACAGCAAGAGATCCTGTTCCACATTTGAGTTTATTGTTTGCGAGCAGAGCAAAATGCAACTGTAATTCTCTCTCATCTGAAAGGGGAAAAATTAGCAAATGAATGAAGTTACATTTATCTCACTAACAAGACTTGACAGAACAAAACAAAAAAACTTTTTCTATAAATGAACACCAACTTGAATACCACCCTAAACATACAGAAAAAAACCCTCATGCACTACTATAAAAACACAGTCTAGATCTAATATAAAATCATAGCCATTAAAGTTTCCTGATATGATTTTTGCACTAGCCCTAGAAAAACTGAGATATGAAATGTATCAAACAAGTGACAAAATGGAGGTTACTGCATTTTAAACCACTGCAACCTGTATTTTGGAAAATAATCTGCCGTCTGAAGCCAAAAGCTCTGCACCGTTCATCCTATCAGGGGAAGCAATCAGTAGCAGTGGCTTGTATATACAAAAAATAGTTTCTCTCTGTTGACAGTATAATCTCTTTCAATCTTGATGTTCAACCACAAATATTTTTACTGAAAACAGAAATAATATTTTCTGTCATTGTCTTGGCTGGCACCTGCTCTGGCTCTTAACCGAGAGTTCACCAAGTGCCTGCAGTCCTAAGGACTTCAGCGTACTTTAGTTGAACAATGAGAAAAAGAAACATTATTGCTCAGCTCTGCTAGAGATAACTAACCACTACCTTCAGGTGACAGAAAGAATATACAAAAAGCACATACTATGTTTATAACACCAGAACATGTACACAAAAAGAAGCAACAAGGGGAAGGGTTTTAATTAGATGTCAGAGGGTAGAGGTTTTAGCACTTCACAGACACTTATCTGATGGAAGCAATGCCAATGTTATATGATGCAGTCATGCACTTGTTCTAACTGTCCCCAAAGCCACTGCTGTGGCTGGTCCCATCACTGGTACCAATAGATAAAAAAAAAATAAAATTAAAATCAAAATGGCAAATTGCAGTGACTGCAAAAATGAAGCTTTTAATAGATTTCACTTTGCAGTCATAAGAAAAGATAAAAAGGGAAAGAAACAGATGAGAAAAGATGCTGAACTCAGAAAAGGTGAAAGGAAGTTATTTCATATGAGCTATTTGTGAGGTGTTGCTGGATTTGGGGAAGTAAATGGAAACCTGACTTTCATCCCAAAATAAAATAAATTATAAGACTTTTCCAGCTAAATCCTAATTAAAGGTGTATTTGACAGAAAATACCTTAAGATACAACAGAAATCACCCTGCTTAAAATGTTGGACAAGTCATATTTAGCCTTAATACACCATATTACAAAGAGAAAATGAAGAAAAAAGGACTGGCCATCAATGATGACCATCTGTATAATGTCACCATGCAAAAGGAATACTTCTTTTAAGAAGAAATGTAATTTAATTTCCTCAAATATTTTAGTCAGGGAAACTTTTAGATAAGCCATAAAACTTATGACAGTACCAGGCTAATTTGCAAGATAAAAATAGTCTACAAAATAAAATCTACATTGGGGTAATATAGTCAAGCAAATGATGCTTAAAATATGCCAAATAGTCTTGATTTATTGTGTGAAATGGACTTTGTTATATCTAACAACAACTTTAGGCAAAAAGAGGTAGATTTATTTTATTAAATAGACTGTCACATGTTGTCTGACACAGCTAGGAGAAGCAGCATTAGTCTTCATCTTCTGAAATCCTGTTTAAATGGAGGAAGAGTTTTAAATGTTTATCAATGTAAATAGCAAAGACAAATTTTTTTTTGAAAGGAAAAAATATGCTTATTCATAGGGAAAGGTGGCATTTGAAAGACACAGCTCCCTTCCCTCAGCCCATATTTTGAGCTGGAAATAAAACAAATTAATATAACATTAATATCATCTAAGTTAATACATTTGTCCCAGTGATATGACTGCACATTTGGAACACATGGGTAATCAATTAAGCTGAATTTGAAAAGAAAACAGATGGATGATAGAGATTATACAACTACATGTAAGTAAAATAGTGAAAAAGCAGAATTTTATTTTAAAGTGGGAGAGGGTGTTTAAAGCCACCAAATAGCAAACACGTGTTGCCCAGAGAATTCTGATTCCAATTACATCAGCAGAAGAGGCTACAGAAAAGTTTCAGTTTTTCCTCATGTTTCCAGGCAAAGAGACTGAAAACAAAATGAACAAACACAACACATACATAACCTCACAGCAACACAGACTGACCCTCTCTGCCTGGGCTAAGGCAAAGATTATTTTAAACCAAGAGCTGAATAGCCATACAAATAGCCTCACAAATTTCCTGAAACAGAACCAAGGACTAATGAGGTAGGAAATGCTGTTTGGCTTGAACTGCTGCCCTAAAAACAGGACAGTCCAGCTGAACAAAAAGTTTAAGTCATTAGGTTCAAGGGTCATTAGCTACTTGTCCTCTAAGACACCCACTTAAAACTGCACACACAATGAAACATATCAGAATCAGAAAGCAAAGCAATTCTTTTTACAGTAATTAAAATAAAATAAAATAAAATAAAATAAAATAAAATAAAATAAAATAAAATAAAATAAAATAAAATAAAATAACAGTAATTAAAATAAAATAAAATAAAATAAAATAAAATAAAATAAAATAAAATAAAATAAAATAAAATAAAATAAAATAAAATAAAATAATTTTTTTAAATGTTGTAAACTGCCTCTATTTTCCAAGGCTATGCTTTTGATTATGTTACATTTCAAGAGCCGACACAGCTAAAATGCAGAGCACACCAGTTTTGTTTCTAAATCAAAAGACAAAAGACTGCATTCAGGACAAACGCTGGAGGTTTCTGGAGGTATATACCTGCCTTCTTGTAAAAAATAGGTTCTAAAATTCTATAGAGGCATATTGAACCATGATAAAAAGATATTGTTTACATTTTCAAGCCCAGACAAGTTTTTTCTCAAACAGCAAACATGCACACACACACACGTGCTTAACTCCAAGCACAAGTTTGACAGAACTGTGTGTTCCTTCTGTCAGAGATAAAGCTAAGCAATATCCATGTAATTATATGTGGGCCTGGAGCTTGACATGTCTATTTCCAAACTTCAGGAAGCATCCATTATCTAGGACATGACTTCTGCCATCCGAGCTTAATCCTATCTCCTCTAACACCTGTGAAAACTTCCAGCTTGCCGTGACAGCTTCCGCATACGGAACAGATTTCCAACTCACACATCTGAAGCATGTTAAAATTGCATGGCACTAGCTTCTGTTCCACTTAATATCAAAATAAGGGGATACACTCCTTGAAATGGGAAGAGGGTGCAAAAAGTGGCACCTTGGGTCAAAAGGACAAATAATGGGATACTAACCAAGACTCATAGGAATAAAATTCATTTGTGAGACAGATCCCCAGAGAAAAAAAACGTTCTCACTGCCTGTTTTCAAACTTCCCTTTCAACCTTTACATTAGACCTACACACATGGGGGCCTATTCTCTTTAATCCACAGCAACTCTTTTATTTTTTCTAGAAAGCTGGCGATTTCATATTCTGTGAAGCTTAGATCTAAATACTGACTGAAGGCAAAACATGGAATCCATTCCAAGAGATCCTCAAGGACATTGCAGCAGTTCTGAGTCACTTCATGATGACAAAATGAACCAAAAAAGAAGACATCTGCCCCCAGGTCAGCAGAGAAGGACCTACCTGTCTGTTGTGTTCTTTTGGGGTAAGTCTTGCTGCGACTTCTTTCAATGCTCTGGTCAGGCCGCGGTAGCTGCACAGAAGGATCTCTGGCCATTCGCAAAGATGTTTTGCCACTTCAAAACACAATGAAATCATGAGAAAACACTAGGAAAAGTTATCCAACAGTATCCTTAGACTGAGAAAAAATGCTATTGACTTGTTATCCCACGTCTGGTTCTCCTGTTGAGTAGCACCATCCTGAATTTGTTTTGAATCAGTCACTGGCAAAATCATCAACAGATTGTGCCAACTGCTCTTATATATTTGGCATTTCCAAGTGGACATACACCACTAAAACAAAATGGGATTTTTTAAGAATAGCTTAAGATAGCATGACCTTTTCTAACCTAGAATATTCTAACATACAACTTTCTTAAATAACATTATTTCTTCCTGAACTTTTTCTGTATGTTTCCTCCCAGGAAAACATGTTTAATATTGTTTACACATACTTAATATTGTTCAGTTACAGTCAGTCAGGGGCTACTCCTCTGGCATGTGGAATGACAGCCTAAAAGACTGCAAAACAAACTGTAATAAAGGACGCTTACTAGCACAGTCCCAGATGACAACAAATTGAGTAAAAGTCTTGATTGTTGTTTACAGTAAGGTTTTTCTTCACTGCGCGATTGAAGTAAATTACTAAGTTTAAATAAATTCTTTTATACTCACTTTAATGGTCCTCTCAGTGTTACTAAACAGAATATAGTAGTCATAACAAAAATCTAAAATTCATATTCCTCCCCAGAACTCCATATTTGTTCCTGGACACTTACTACACAAGAGAGGTAATTGTCACTATTAATTCCTTAACACTTCAAGTTTGATTATTTTGAAGTAAAAGCTATTGTACTAGAAAGTACTAAGCAATTATACAGAAACTACTTATGTGGATTTTCTGAATTATGTGAATAGACTCCATGAAATACTGATAGTGTTTTCATCAATAGCCCTTCACAGATAGTCAGCACTGCAGAATTTTAATATTTTCAAAATTATAAAAGAATTTAAGGACAAAAATAAATGTGTATTTCTAACCCTACATCACAGTAATGTGGGGGTTTTTTTATGTACTTAGTTTAAAGCATGCTCCCAAGTCACCCAGAAAACTTTTCTGTTCAACTTTTAAGTTTGGCAGCCATGACAGTCCTGCAAATTCCAGAAGCAACTTTAACCAAATATCTGGGAATACAAACTTCCACCCCACTAAGACCTCCAAAGCATCCCATCCTAAGACAAAAAAATTGCCTTCCTGAAAACTGTCTGACACACAATGAGAAGTACCTCGAAGATTTAACAAAAAAGTAAAAACAACAACAAAACCAAAACCAACCAAACAAAACAAAACAACATTTAAAAAAAAACCACAACACCACAGATAAATTAATACATGGTTACATGGTCCCCCCACTTACACAGAAAAATAGTGGGATTATGGTTTCTGCTCTGAGCTAATTATGTGTACAGATACACAACACAGTCACTGCTTTTGGTGATACAATGGGGACCAAAGGCAAAAAGGGAAGACAACCAAAATTATGACCATCATCCCAACATGGCAGGCCTGATCACATATCAGTCATGACATTTATTAAAACAGGAAGACGAACTGAACTGCACCACCAACAGCAATAGCTCAAATATAGTTAACTGCTTCATAGCATGGGGTTTTTTTAATTGATTGGAAAGTTCTTGCCAATACAAAGCTTTCTCCTCCCCAGTATCAGTGCACTGCTCCAATCTGTTGAAGTGGTTCAACAGAAAACATTCATCCACAGTACTCTGCCAGGAATCAGTGAACTCCTACCCATTATCCCAGATGGGGTAATGCAGGCCAGGATCTACTACAAACACTAAAGGCAGGACAATCATTGCCCTGTCATCTACAGCAAGGAGAATTAGAATCAGTCTGGATTAGAAAATCGGCAAAGTGAAAAAGATCTGCCTAACTAATGATTATCAACCTTGCTCAATATGATCCATTTATTTCTTGCATGATAGTGGAAACAGTGTTCCTTATCCATCCTTAATTTCAAGGGTTTATAGCCTTGAACCTCTTTCAAGGTTCAGAGCCTTGAACGTTCATCCAATGTTGTCACCTATTCAAGTCAGAAAAGATACATCCTCATTTTGGTATTCCCTAACTGTCAGGAAAACCTCTTTAGGACATGAACATAATTTCAGGACTTATAAGGAGATAATGATTTAAAGAGTTGTCAAAGTTGTTCCCACCTTGAATACAGACTATAGCAAGCCTCAACGAATTCTGGGGATCTGGAGAAGAAACATTTGTCCCAAAACTGCCAAGCTCCTAAATAGAGTCTGTTAAAATGGCCCTGATTCATCTTTTGTGTTTGACCTATACTAGGTCATATTCTGGGTGGTGGTTTTCTTTCATTGGAAGGAAAGAGGAAAAAAGGAATGAAGACGGAATGAACTGAAGTTTAAACAATCAAAAAAATTCACCTGTACCGATGTTTATAACCTATGGATCCAAACTTGCTGACTTTTCTTGGCAGAGAGCTTGATTCATTCTCTGGCACCCTGCGTAGTTTGAAAAATAAAATAACAGTAAGTTGCATAGATAGGTCTGAATTATAGTCCTCTCCAAGTCAATAAAAAAAAAGTACAAATATGGGCTCAAAAAAATTTTTTTCTGCAAGTTCCTCTCATCACTACCTCTGGACAGACTCTTATGGGGTTGAGAGTCTCCCAAAGACACCTGTTTGTCCCCCTTATTTTGACTACATACCACTTCATCTCAGAGTCAAGTGTAAATTGCTGGCACCAGCAGTCTTTCACCTAATTTTGGGAGAAGGCAAACCCACCCTGCCACAGTAGTAAGGCTGCAGGAGGGATTCTCAGTTCACTCATTTACAACACTGCTAAAAGCCACTCAGAGGATTCCATCCACCAATTCCCTTAGCACATTTCTCTTGGTGTTTTTTGCAACAGTAAAATCAAGTGCTTTGAGATATACAGTACTGAGAAGATTTTTTACACCTCAGTAAATAAGCAAAATGTTATGTACATTCAATTAATTTCTATTAAATACATATATATTTCTCCGCATTGTAGGAAATAGTAATGTCTGAATTCCAAAGGCCTCCCTCAAGCCAATGCTGCTACAGAAAATCTGATGACTAAATACATCAAAATCTATATGGCAAGTTAAGTCCTGCCATCTTTCTGATAAAGCCTATTACATGCAACCTCAAGTACTGTTTAGAAAAGAATACTAAGAAAAAAGAACTACCAAACTACCCAATTCTAAAAACATTGTTTCACATCACTGTAAGAAAAGGTGTTGGCTATTAAAAGCATTCTATAACCAAGATCACAAACGTGTTTCCAGGCAGCCAGCCTTTGTAACACCACTCTGCAGGTATAACAAGTGTAATAGCTGTATGGAAAACACAACCTAACTTCTGCATCGCTCACCTGAAAAATGTATGATGCTCTACACAGCATTTCCAGAGATGTTTGCATGTGACCTTGTTACGGGCTTCAAAAAAGAAGGAAGTTTATTTGCACTGAAGACAAAAAAAAAAAAAAAAAGAATATTCTTATGGGAGATCCTGCCATTGAAGTGAATCTCATTTACTGAACGCAAGAACCAGCCACCCCATGTCAGTCCATGCAAGAAAAGAAATCAGCACAAGGAAAAGCAGGTTCTATAATTCTGTAGAATTCTTCATTTAAAAGTGGTTTTCTTTTTGAAAAACAGAGAAAAGAGATTATTTAAATACTTAATAATTAATTCATTAATGAAATTCTTCATTCTTGCTCATACCCATCAGCTTCTTTCCTAAATAAAACACACAAGTTTTTTTGGTTTTGTTTTTGTTTTTTAATTATGGTTCTAATGTTTTCTGAAATGGCAGATCAGATGTCAATCAAAAATATGCTGGTTAACAGTATTAAAAAAGCAAGAATAGGTGAAAGAAAGAAAGGAGCTCAAGATATGCTATAAACTATTATGAAGCAATGACAGAGGACACATACAGAATAGGTCAAGGCAAACCTGAGGGGGAAAAAAAAACTGAAAAAGGGAAGGGTTTTCTTTTTCTAAAAAAGCTAACTTCATAATAATTGAAAATGCTAGGAAAAAAGTTGGAAGCCTTAAAATCCAACTTAAAATCTCTTAAGGAAGCCAACACCAGCCAGAAAAAAAGCATATACAAAGCTTAAAAGCTGAACTCTGGAAACTGGCAAAGAGAAGTGGGACACACACAAACTATGAACTACTTCCAACAGAAAAGGAGAAGCAACAGACACATCACAGTGCTTGTTTTCAACAAGCTAAACACTCAGATGTGTTCACAAAAAAATACCATTCCATCTATTTTTCACTTGGTGAACTCAAGCATTTGGTGTTTCAGCTGTGATTTGCACAAAGAATGAGCAATCCCAGTGACGTCAGTGTGAGAGCTCAGCATGGCATGACACCCCCTGTAACAAAACTGAGTCTCAAACCATTTCAGCAAGGTGTGAGTTACAAAGGAAGTGTGATTCACACCACCTTCAGTAGCTGATTTTGAACAATCTATGCCCTTGCATTCCTTACACTTCCGCAGTGCCATGCATACACAAGTAAAGAGCTCAGGCAAGTTTTTCCCTCTCTCATTTATTATTGTTTATTATTATCTGCAAGCACCTTGCAAACTGTGAATTCATTCTCTATGTTCTCTAGAATTCAAAATTTCACCTATAACAAAAATCCAGTTATATCCCTATTAACAGCTGTCAAGCAGCCTCACAAAACCACAAATTACCTTCTCAAGCAGCTTGTCCTTCACCTTGAAACAAATAACTATAAAACAACAGAATTTTGCACCTGTGGTTAGAATAGAGATTTCCTTTCCTGACCAAAAAAAGTTAAATTATATATGACCTTATTTTCTCCCATGCCTTATTTTAGTTAAATGTCTGGCTGGAACCGTGCCATGAAACAGGAAAGGAATTAAAATAATTCCCTCGTCTTCTATCAAAAGCACATTTTACTCTACATGCCAAGAGAGAAGAATAGAGGCAGTAGAGTAAGACAATGACCACCAAGAATGTTGAAATCTAGGATTCATCTGATACTACTGTGTATATCATAAAATTACTTTGTAGTACTTTGGTCCCATAAATATATTTCTGAAGTCCCTCAGGTTTGATAGGGATCATCATCTCTCTGCAGGATTCACAAGTGGTTTAACTTATAGACAAAATAAATTTAATTCATGAAAAGTAAAGGCTTCCTGAAAAATCTTGAAAATAGTCAAGGAGAAAAATCAATTTATTACTCTTCCAGAGTACAATATTGCTCTTTCTCCTCTGATGGCTAGAAACAAGACTCTACCCACTGAAAAATCATAAGGCATTTTACATTGTAAAACTTGTAAAGAAAACATGTAAAGTGGTGCTTTGCATTTGCTTACTTTGCACATAGCAGAAAAGTAGATTTGGATTTCATTATTTGATTAAAATTACAATTTCTGTATTAGACTGTCATGTAATATGATTTCATATAAAGCCACACAACTATACTCATCCTCAAAAGGATAATATCAAAGTGGATTGTAGTATTGCAAACTTGATGAAATATGATGAGTCAGTTTAGCTTCTGTTAGGAAACAACTCAATGACTCACTTTTAATATCCAGGGTCTTGCTCCTTTGTTCACTCCTACTTTTAGGCAAAGAATCCTCTGTTTAACTTAAATTTATTTAATTACATAATCTCAAAGGAAGGAGTTTCTGGTATGTGGGAAGAGAGGGGCAGAGAGAAGACAGGCATGATTTTTATTTTTTTTTTGAGAATTTTTGAGAATTTTTAAAATAAGGTATTTCTGCCATATCTTACTGTTAGACTAGTTTGAATGCCACTGGCATTCAATGACAGTGGGAAAAAGTTCAGAAAAAAGTTCCATTCCTGTTGGGGAAAAAGTTCTATTTGTCCATTTTGTCTTTTATAAGTTGTCTTCTTTAAGTTTTAGAACTTTTCCATGCACAGAACAGACCACAGGAAGACACATTAAAATCAGTAAGTGACAATAAAAGGGACCATAGAGTTATACTACCATATCATAGAAAGATCTGACCAGCAAAAATAACTGATTCAATCGTATGAAGGCATTATTTTCCAATAAGAAAGTTCACCCTAGCTGGCAAGAAAAATGTTGATGATGCTGAAACATCTAAACTTAGTATTGAGCAATCAGTGGCACTCAGGGAGGGCAAAAAATAAAAAGGCTGGTGGGGGGGAGGTGAGAGGAAGATAAGATAAGATAACCCTACAGATCCAATTTACCAAAACTTTATGGAATTCAGATCTGGAAAATGAAACAATTGCCTAAAAGTCATGGGACAGACTAACAAGCCTTCTGATAACACACCCAGACTTATTTATTTGAATTTGAAGAAAAACCACATCTCTGAAAACTATGGCCTGAAACCTAATGCTTGCTATAACTCAATAGCACAATTAAATTGTGCTATTGAGAGGAAAAATTGTGCTATAGAGAGGAAAAGTAGCCTAAACCACTCATCCTCATCAAAGGGGCAACAATCCATAATTCTTTCACCATTTCTCATCTTATCTGGGAAGGATTCTGTAACTTACTGCAACCAAGTTCAGTATGGCACTGCTTATAGCACAGCCAGGTTTAGGACTTCCTCCATATTCCTTTTAGGACTATTTAAGGCTTGTAAGAGTAGTGATTACCCTGGCAATTTATAAATGCCTATATAAAAAGTAAGCAGTACTAAAAACAGCAATACCATTCCAGATTAACCTTTCTTCCCCAAGGGAATGAATTGATTTGTATAACAGGCCTTACCTGTTAAGACCATGACCTTTTGTTCCAAATAAAAGACAACATTTTTAGCATTTTGAACATCACAATTTCCTACAGGTAGTTCATGTTAGCTGTTTTGCTTATTATTCTAATATATCTGAACCAAAAGAAACAAAGACCTATTGTAATTTTACTAATGATTTATAGGAAATGACACCTCCAAAGTCATTCAGTGCTCTTTGGTGCATCACAAGGTTCTCCTGGCTATTCATCCTGCTGCTTTCAGTGTGCCCAGTGTACTAAAGGTGAGGCACTATAAATCATGAACAGCTCCCAGAGCAGTCCTGGCTGTCTGCACACTCTGGACATCTCTCTTTGAACCATCTTGGTGTTTGTCTGTTCTTTCAGGAAGTCCATTTTGCTGATCAAACAAGTAGAAAACCACTTATTTTTGTATAGTTATTTTCAATCCCTTCTGCGAATTGCAGGAACAAGGGAGGGGCAGGATGGTGGATCAGAGGCTGCAAAATGACTCTTGCAGCAATAACCAAGCTGTGGGACTGCCTGTCCTAACCCTGACAGAGGCACAAACCCTTTGTCAAAAAATGTGAGGACAAGCATAACATATCCCTCTCCTTTTAGGTGCTTTGAAAACTTGTCCTGCAGTCTCCAAAACATTCTACAGCTGATACTGCTAAAACCTCAGTCCTATTTTTAGCCACAGGAGGCCAGAGAGACTAGCACAGTGGGTGCAGCTAACTTGTCTACACTACAAACTTATACACAGATGGACAGTGAAGCCCTTCCCTGTTTTATGCTGGCTCCCAGAGCAGCCAGAAGACTGATCTGGCAGGGCCTTTAAAACCTTCACTAGAGAGCTGGGAATTGGAACAGTGCTACACCCTAATACCCACACCTCTCAGGTGAAAGATTAAAAGCATCTTACAAAACCCTTCAAAGGAGACAAGTCAGAGGTGTCATTGCTCTGCCTAAGCACAGAACAGCTCTGGAAGTAGTACACAAGTTCAGGAGTGCTTGGCAAACAGCTTCCTGCTTGCTTTGCCTCACCAGCCTGATTACACAGCTTTCAGGCTCAGAGATGCTTTGTGCCCAGCTAGCTCAGTTCCTAGGCAGAGCAAGCTCAGCTCCCCTGGAAGAGAAGACACACACATATAAGGACAGCTCTTCTCTCTGAGGGCCAGAAGATCCCTTGTTTTTGGAGTTCATGGATTACTCCCAGGATAAGAGGCCATTGTCAGTAGATTTACACCCATTCCAGGGAGAACTGAACCTGCCCACAGAGCAAAAATTATTCAAGAACCACTGACTCAGAGCAGGCTTTAGCTACCTTAATTTACAAGACATTTATGGGCTCCCGCAATGAAGGATGAGAAAATGAAGAAGAAAACCCCAAAACCACATTAGGAGCCGTGCTAGTACACCCACCACTCCTCCCAGTCGCAGTGAGTGCTAATGCTAGATAAGGAGGGATCTTGCCCCGTTACAGGGCACCTACACATACGACACCTTCACATGTAACAGAATTATTAACACTGGCTCTAAAGCTAGTGCTTCAGAACATTATTCTTTGCCAGATTAGGCACATATCTGGGTACCATCAGCTCTAAATTACAATAGGAAGTATTCTGTCTTTATATATGGACATATGCAGACAAATCACAACCAATGTAGCAAACAACATACTGTTACTGGTTACACAATGCTCAATCTTTAGGAAAATTATACCAAGTTGGCAATTAAAACTGATAAAGATGTGCCACTTGCATGTCAACACTGAAACAAACATATCTCAGCTTTACAGCAACTACAGCAATTACAGCAATTCAAAAACACTAAGGAAGAATTAGAAAAAAAGGAAGATGACCTTAGTGTCAGTGAATTTAATTTTATGCAGGCCTTGAACAGATCTTACAGTCCTTCTATGATGGCTCAGAAAGCAATTAAGAAAACCCCCCAAGCAACCCCAAGCCAAAACTGTTTAATATGACATATTAATAGCATTGGGCTTGCTCACCTCCACCCTTTACTATCACTCTGAGTTAAGTGGATGCAAATGCAAACGATGCAAAAGTCATTTGCAATTCTTAAACCATAAGAAAGATCAAACTGCTATATTTGTCTGGAAACTACACATACAATAAATTGGACTTAAGACTGAGAGTAACATATCTTCAAATCCCGTTCAATCTTCCCAAGAAGCTGCAGGAACAATAAATCAAATTAGACATTCCTGACTGGAATTTGTAACTCAAGACAGAATACAGCATTTGATAGGAAAAGAAGGGGCACAGCTGAACCATCTTATTAACATAATTATTTCTCAGACCAATGACACTTATGAAAAGCAGATTAAAAAAGACAAAGCACATTTACAGTGTTTTCTGGACTATTTAAAATAACAAAAAACCCCCTGTATTTATACAAGTTTCAGCCACACAAAATGGGGACGATTATATATTTTGCACTTGCATCAGTGGTTGGTATTTTTTCTGAAGATCCATGACCAATTTCGCCTAGTGAATTCATCTGAATATGGAAGACTGAAGAGAAACATACAAAAATGTGGAAATCATTTTTAACTGCACAGATTGGGAGATTGTTCTGACACAAAAATACCCAAATGTCAAGAACTCTTGAAATACAAATTTCAGAATTCAAAAAGACCTTTCTCTTACAGAAAAAATGACAAAAGCAAGTGTTTTGCACATTGAATACTTTCTGTTTTGTGAAACAGGAAAAGTAAGAACAGAAGTTTTGCATAAACCCTGCTAAGGAGTGAAATCATTCACATACATGTTCAGACACAGAGCAACTACAGTAAAAGGCTCGGTTACACCAAACAGCACCGGTGTGCAGGGAACAGCACAAAAGCGCTTGGTACCTACAGGCAAAAAACCTCCACATCTCTCATTCCTGCCTATTATCACATTTACATTCCCAGCCTACACAGTCTATCAATGCGTGTTTTTCTCTGTTTTCTTTCATGTCTCTAGTTGAGAGAGAAATCTAGGAAGCAGGCCGTGCTCCTCACATGGGGCAACACAGAAGGTATGCTGGGCACCCTTTACACTACTCACTTCCACACAGAGCACCCATTGTGACCAAACTCTATTTTGCTGGTGGAGAGGGGAGGGCTTTGGCAGCCACCTGTGTTACTGGATTGTTTCCAGCAAGGTTGCTCCACAGACGTGCTGCCAGGAACTGTGCACATGCATTAGATGAATTTCTCAATTTTCTGAGAAATAAACCTCTTTAATCTTCAAAAATTATTGGCCATTTTATGTCAGGAAATGGGAACATATGAAGCCCTTGTAAGGGAAGGGTTCCTAACTTCATGCTGATGCTTAGAGGTGCCAGTGTGGACCTAATGCCTTTATAGCTCAGAATTCACAGCATGGATTCATGCAGGGGGACAATTAAATGCTGATCCAATTATTAACACCACTGAAAAAGAGCTTCAGTCTCACATGTCCATGGATTGCCAAATATTAAAGGCAATATTTTGTTTATGAAGGGGCAATAACAATGACCTAAGGGAGAAAACATATAATACAAGCAAGGTAGTGAAAGACAGAACCAAAATACTGATGGTCATGCTTGTACACAATAGCAACAGGTGCGCAGGAAAAAAATAGGAGGCAGCTAAATATACAGGAATTAATTATTTTCATGGAAGAGATATGAAGAAGTGCAAGAGGTTACACTACAAAACAGAAAAGCCAAAGCAGCTTACTATATTATAAGGCACTAAGCAATAACATCTGCTCAGTAAGCAGCGAGTTTATGAAAAGTGAAGCAATGTAAACAAAAAAATAGGCCATAGGTTTGGCTGATACAGACACAACAGTGGGGTTTAGCTAGTGTGAAGGCATGGACTTGTACATTTAGAGTGCTATCTGTCAAGAAGATCACATGTGCATTTCCATCCACCTAGTGGGAAATACACAGATTCTTCAGGCATGGTTGAAAAAATTTCACACCAAAAAATCTCAGCAAGCAACAACAAAGAAGTTACCACAAGTAATTCCATCCAGGGAAAGAGCTCTGCTGGTACTAAAGGCACCAACAGCTTCCTCTTTATGAGCAGTGAAAGGTGACAGTCAGGGTGAATAAGGGTAGCTAGTGTGTGTGGAAACATGGATGAAAACCCATGCTGCAGAGAGTTTTTACAACATATGGAAAACATGATTCACACAAAGCACTCAGTTCACCCAGAAATAATCTGCTGTGTTACATGGAATTAGCTCCTTCACTTTATGCCATAAAGTTCAATTTAAAAACATGGGAAAGCCCCCATTATTTTTACTCCTCCTGAATTTCTTCTTGAGCTCTCTACAACTAACTGGAACAGACATTCCAGACTTGGTATACCACATCTGATACAAGGAAAGTATTAATTCCCTGGGCTGTAAAGTGATATTACAGGAGGCAGAATGGAGTGAAAATGGCATATTTACTCTTCTGTAATATACTAATGTGTCACATGGGAGGACAAAGTGATAGCATTTATTAAAAAAAACACATGAGGAATAAAAAAAAATTGTGAATCATACTTTTAGAAGTATTGGAACATACACAAATACACTGATGAGCTTTTCCTCCTCTGTGTAGAACAGCATAAATTGTTATGACAATTTTAATCCAGAGACTGAGGTTACTATCTGCTTATTCCAATATATAATTTTGTTCAAAGTACCCCAGACTGTTATAAAAAGGAAAAAGAAGATTTTTCTGTGCCATTTTGCCCCTTCGTAATCTTGTTAAGATATTAAGTGATGTAGAAATACTTCAGATTAGTATTAGTTGAAAAGGCGAATTTACACACCCCTGTACTTACTGTTCTATCCAACAATTTCCTAGAAATACCGGTCAAGGCTTGAAACTACCAAGTTCTGTCAAAATGCTTGCCTTATGACCACAACAGTAAGAGTTCACCAGCCATCAATATTCACAGCCTCAACTTTTCCAAAACCTTCTGAGTTTTCTACACAGCATGCTAAGCCTTTGCAATTCCACATGGTTAAAAGAAAACTGTGGAAATGTGGCATCAAAGAGAAGCTACAGCTTCATTTCCAAGCAATTCACTCCAAGTCAAACTCAGACTAGTTTATACATGAACTATCACTCACCCTTTACATGAAACATGGTGAAAAGTTTTCCCAGCCTTTAAATAACGCTCGTATTTCAACAAACACACCTTCAGAAATTAAATCCCCACAGATTACCACACCAAATATAAACAAGACACTTGGGGGTAACAAAACAGAGATTTGCCAAGACATCTGCAAAGACACCAGAAACTTTGTCCACAACAGCAGCAAGACAAATATTCTCATGGAAAAACTATGGATGAGACTGACAGCCATTACAAAGATGAACAAAAACACTTAGATAAACAGTAAAGGGGATTTTTGCCAGCACGGTGATACTACTTAAAACTATAACTATCAGTCCTTATGAAACTATAAACTTTCATGTTCTAAAAAGACAAAGTATTTTCAAAAAATATATCAGCTAACTAGACTTGTAACTAAACCAGACAGCAAAACCCACAAACTGACTGCAAGTATGTTTTTTATTGCGTGTCATTATTTTTTCCTACATACTCAACAGTCTCCTCCTCTCCCTACTCCACATGCTTTGTAGGGGATTTTTTTATATATATATATGTTTGTACTGCATCTTAGAACCTCCTCTATCCTTATCAGCCTGCTGTCCTTGCCGCACTGGAACCAACATTGCTTTCTCTCAAATAGTCTAAGTGCAAAGTAATGTTGAACTCTGACAAACGGGTTTCAAGCTATATAACATGGCTGCCTGTTTTGTGTCTGACAGCTTTGTGAGTTTCCCTTCAGCTACATTTGATTTCATACAGTAAATTTCAATAAAACCAATTAGACATTCACAGACACACTAAATTTCCACCTTCATTAGACCTAATTCTTTTTTTTTTAATCTTTTCAGGCCTAAATAAAAACTTACATCTTTTCCCAGGACTCGAAGTTCAAACTGTGTTTCCTTGAAGTGAACTTTCGTAATTCTAGGCCTGTAATATTGAGAAAGAAAGACAAACCGAACTCCGTGACCTTTTAATTTCATGTGTAATAAGATATAAAGTTGTGTAAATTTGCATGCAGAGACAGAAAAATAATTCACAGTTATATTTATTGTTCAGGTATGCCCCAGATATCAGCAGACAATTAAGGATATGTAAACATTTCAGCATGAGTATGGTAAAGATGATCTACTGTTTTCAGTACCTGGACTATCAAAGAATTAAAAATCTGCATCATCCACAGAAATATTAAGAATTCTATGTGTCCTTTTTTGATATTGCTATGATTAAACTTTCAAATAGATACCACAAATTGTAGACATCCATACAACATTGTTATTGTTTTAGTGCAGACTGCACATTTAAATAATACATACCAGAAATATTTTCCTACTTGTTTTTTATTCTTGTAGACAACAACTCCTACGGGTGTTAATCCTAAAAAGTATTCAGATTTGTTTTCACCCTAGAAAATAAAGAACTATGTCATTCATACAGTTGCAAATAGAATCACAGTGTTAGTGAGATCCAGTGAGACATTCAACCCGGTGACTTAAATATACTGTTTCACTCTGTACAAACGGGAAAATAGTACTTGATTTATTTATGAAAGCTTCTATATGGAAATTTGTAGTTCTGGGGGAAAAGAGGCAAGAAAGATTGGGAATGAGGAAAAAAAAGGGAATTTCACACCATGGTGAAAAACAAAAACACCTCTTTTTTTCTGTTTTCTTACTGAATTAATTATTAATTTTTGCTATTTGGCAAATGGCCAAAACTCAGAAACTGAACTCTTTATTGAGGCATGAATGCAACAGACATCTCAACTTCCAGCTGAAATTAAATAGTGATTTTCTGACCTATAATACAACCACACAGCTGCCTTCTCCCTCCTAAAACAGTGTCAGCTGCTGCTGCCTCCAAGTGAAGTAGCTGCTGTGGGAGAGTTAAGCTTCCTTTTTGTTGTTCAGAAAGGGCAATGGTATGCAGCGAACAGCCACATGCATCAACTCCTCTGAAGGAAACCATTCCTCAAGTCAGGATACAAATCTCAAACTGCACCAGGTGAGAACAGGGTGAAAGCCCTGCTGCTGAGTGGCAGAAGGTCCCCACCTCCCCAGTTTACAGTCAATACCCAAAACCAGAAGGAGCTTACAGCTGAAAGAGTGCAAACCACAGTGCATGAGGTTAAAATAAAGTCAGCTGGAAAAGCTCATCCACCTGCCTACTTGAGGCAGTGAGGAAGAGCCCTGCAAGTCCAAACCAGAGGAGCAAGAGCAGCAGAATTATCAACTGTGAGAGGCACTGACTTGAGACACTGAAAAAATGCCCTGTGTGATTTCAGGGCTGACAAAGGTCAAGCACCTGGCAAGCTCTGCCTGTGCTCCTCAGTGAATTAACTGCCAAAGGCAACTTTAATATGACCAAAGGAGGAAAATAACTGCATCTCATTGTGTGTGCAGTTTCAGTCTCAAATGAGGGCTTCTGCTGCTGATGTAATTTAAGTAGGAACAACGATGTTCACAGGTTACCCAGGCAGGCATTTCATTGCACAATAAAGGCAAGTTACGAGGCAAAAAAAATTCCAGGCTGTACTAATTTAACATGATTTTGTTGGATCATGTTGGATCTTGTTCCAGTAACTCACCATTTTTCCATTGGTGGGAGGGGAACGAAGCCTGGGATATGAATATAATTAAGCTATAGTGTGCATTAAAAGGTACTTTACATTGCAGACTACTTATTTTCCAGAGGAAATACATATCTAATCTTCAGGTAGTATCTTAATTTTTTTATTTTCTTTCAAGTAATTTTACAAAGTACTGACATCTAACTCAGTGAACTATCTATACTACAACTCCCCATTTGAACTCCTGATTTTCTTTTATAACAAAAAAAAATAAACAAACAAAAAACAACCAAAAAAACCAAAACAAAACAAAAAAACCCACCAAAAACAAAAACCTGCCACAAGCAGAATAATTCAAACAAGAAACAAGATAGAATGATGTTTCCACCAGGAGCACATAGCCTCCAGGTGATGACTTGGATCCAATCCCAACATACATGCTGACAGACAAAAGAAATGGAGGGGTTTTCAGAGGCAATACAGACAACTTGCAACGCTGCATGATACAACATGGGAAAAAAAATGGAAACATGCTCTGGATCTTTAGCAAAACCTTGACAACAAATATTTTAAAAAGTATTTTAAAAAGCCAGACATGTGACTGCTACTCCACCCTAATTTTTGCAAAGGTATTGAAAAGGTTTCAGAACACACTTGCTCTTATTTAAACTAAAATAATGTGCAAATTCTTCTGTCAAAGACAAAGGTGATAACTCTAACTCATGTCTCCTGACACTTGCACAAATTCCTTCTTTTCTATCTGAATTGTTTTTATCCAGAGTATAACTGATTGGTTTTTTTTTTATCATGCAACACAATCACGGCATTTGATCTGAAAAGCATCAGGTTTTTGTATGTATGAATAACTGAATCCTCACTGTCTGTAAATGCGTGCTCCTTTTCATTTCTTGAGTAGTGTTCCCTTTTCAGTTATCCTGTGGCAACAAAACTATGTAAGTACTGTTTCACACATTAGCGCAGTAATTGTTTTTCACAGTTAATACTTACATAAACAGGATGGAGATCCACTCCATACATTTCCAGAGATTTGGCCACACCTAAGTAGTTCACTTCTGCCTCAGCAGGAACTTGACCCCTGTAAATACAATTTTTTTTTAAGAATCTTGTCATTCCAATCAACACATCAAAATAGATCATAGTAATAAATATAGTTTTCTGGACTCATATGCAGCCCTTCTTACCAGTTTTTTAGACTCTCATGGTCTTTTCAACTCTGAACTTCTTATTCCAGGTAAGACTAGATCTCTAGTGGTCTCCTAGCACAGACATATATGCTATCATATATGTCATGTTTGCCTAATGCAGTGCCTTTTGCCTTTTCATTGCTGTCACAAACACACTTCACGCATTTAATTTTCATGCTTCAATATGCAAAATACTTTCCCCCCCCAATAATTACAATATTATTAATAAAACAGGAATAGAATGACTGGTTGGGGTACTATTTCCCCATAGAAGTGTTGAAGCTCCTGAAAGCAAGGTTGATTAACTCCAGAGAAATTATTCCGTTCTCCATAAAATCTCGCCTACAGAAGTCACACCAGCTGGTAGCACCCAGGTCTGCTATGTCGAAAACAAGATTTGAAGTCTGTCTCATGAGATTAGCCATTTCAAAGATCCTGCCTGCCTTCCTACCTACAGATATCAATCCATCAGGTAAGAGTACCACTGGCAGGAAAAAACTGGGAAAACTGGTGAGGGAAAAATCCTGGCTAGTAGGAACATACTTGACATTACTGAAAATTTACTTATTTTCAAAAAGAACAGAACTAAATAAATTCAAAGCCTTATCCTCAGAATTTAATTTGCTCTTCACTTAATATCTATCAATGATACAAGAACAAGATTCTCTTTTGTAAGCCTGAAATAGCTGAAGCAATGTTTTTGTTTTCATTTCTTTTTAATACTTATCTGAAAGCAATTGCACTGTTAATGGGAAAGTACAGCACATCTTGTAAAAATATCAGCTCAAAAAGTTGCATATCCTACTTCATCCTGTTGGTTTTCTTGGGAAATACTTCACAGGATGTGCTACCTTTCAAATTCAAGGTGTGAAGTAGAACATTCTACATTCAACATTTTGATCGAAGATCTGGAAAAGCCCTGCAATAGGCACATTCCTGCTTCTGGTGAATGAAAGTCACCATTCTCTCTAGCCTAGAAGCTACCATCTAGGTTTTCCCAAATTTGTGTTATGGCTGACAAAGAAATAAGGATTTCCAAGGTCAAAGACATGAAACAGCAGTGCTAGCATGAATGCAATAGATAGTTAAAGGTATTCAAAGACATTTAAAATTACTTCTTTGTATCTGGGAGATGGACTGCTTCAGCTCATCTTATCCGTGTAGCCGCACTGCCACTTTTCCAGGTGCCCTCCTCTCCAAGGACTCCTGGAAAAGCAGCAGACCTGAAGCTTGTAAGAGAAATCCCTTTCTTCAAATCCCAGTAGATGTGTCATTCATTATCTGCATTCAGAACATGTAGAACACTGGATATTCAGCACATCAGTAATGTCACATCTGTCACGTCTTTTATATACTTTTGCTATAAAAATTTACTGCAGCTTGATTTTTAATTTAAAGTCTTACAAGTATATTTCAGAAATGTAAGCAAAATGTTCACAGGGGCTGTATTGTCTCACTGACTTTGCAAGCAGGCTGAATACCAGTCCTGAGCAAAATGGATTACCCCATTATTGAATTAGTGCTAGAATACAACACCAATTTAAACCCTGCTGTTAGCCTTTCCTTACTGACCAGGCTTAGAAAAATGCTGATGCACTTATTCCTTTATTTTCATCTGCTTCTGAAAGGACCAAAAAGTTCAAATGTCAAAATAATTGTTTTGAGTGTGCTTTTATAAATACTTTCAGAGTAATACACTATGTTTTAGAAACTGAATTTGTAAAAATATTGAAGGAAGCAAAGATGTGAGCTGGAGCTTCTGAAGGAAGCAGATGGAAGCCAGAGGTAGAAGTCCTCCCAAAAGCAGATGGAGAAGCCAGAATATGAAGGGATAAAGAATTGTCAGGGACTGAAAGAATTCCCATTCGTACAAAGAGTGTTTCATTTTTATCGTGTGTGAAAACACAAACTCTCCTTTAGCGTCACACATCCCAAAACTAAAGCAGTCTTTGCCAGTGGGAATGACAGAGCTGGAAAAGTGACAGCCATGCAGCTGACACAAACACACTCCTTTGGATGGACAAAGGGCATCTGAGGGCCACTCGAGGCCCTAAGCAACACTGAAAGTTGCTTTTAAAGCTAAATATCAGGGGCATTTTTGCTTTGCTTGTGCCCCACTGGCAGCATGAAGTGTTGATTCAAAACACAGCAGCAGCTGACTTGCCAAGCACCAGTCAGTGACAAATCTCCCACAGCCTGAAATGGGAGCTGTCAGCAGCACAACACCGGCTCTCCCGTCTGCACTGAGGGATTCTGTCTCTCCTCCAACACCAAGTGTTTTCCTCCCTCATAAGTGAGCCCCAAAGTCACTGCTTGATCCTCCACATGTGCCTGACAATATCAGATCACCTCACACTGCTCTCTGGCCTTGGGGCTGTCATGTTGGTTTATAGATGGGACTACAATCACAGTAGGCAGGCTGCAGAGTCAGAAACCTCCTCTGCTTTCTTCCCTCACCTTCCTTGCTTTAGAAACTTTCTCAAAAAACTGCATCCTTACTGAATCTCCAAATAGCTATTGTGCTGTGTAAAAAACCCCAAAAAACTGAGAGGAAACATGCAACCAAAACCAGTTTTTCTTGACATAACTAGGAGAAGAAAAGTATATGCAGTGCCACAGCTGCTTAGAAAAAACAAAAAAAACCCCAAAAAAACCAACAAAACAAAACAAACAAAAAACCAACCAAACAAACAAACACGGAAAGCCCCCATGTTTCCATCTGGGATCTGGAAAGAATAAAACAATTCTTCCAAACCATATCACAAACCTGTCCCTAAAATGTCTCAGGTCAATGAGACAATTTGGGATGCCCTCACCCATTATAGCTTCACACTTCTTAGCTGCAGAGACTGTGGTCACCTGTGCAGAAATCAGAGCTGGCAGTGCTGCTGGTAACAGTCAGGCTGAAGTAGCGATGAATACACCTTGGCTTTCCCCTCTGTTCTCATGCTGCTAAATCCCTGACACCCAACTGCAGCCAAGCAGCAGAACAGTACCAGGGCTCCAGATCAGTAAGTGTCTGACAGTGATCACTTCCCTTCACAACCACTGGCTTCTGCATCTAATGACTACAGAAACTTGAGAAAGAGAAAGGAAGGCTGCTTAGTTCACAGCAATTCATCTCAAGTCTCATTTCTCACAAACCATTTCTGTGATGTTGAACCAAACTAATGAGCTGTGACTCAGTTTCCTCTCTCTGGAATGGAAAATGCCAATACTTTTTTGCTTTACAGAAACACATGTAGTAAGTTCTCTGAAAAGTATCAATTAGCAAAAGGCTGTTATGCAACCACACAGAAATAATTAGTGACAACAGACTCTCTTCCCTGGAAGAGAAAGCTCAAGTCAACGTGGCAAATGGCACAGACTCCAATTACTGGAAAACTTCTCAGAGAACAGCTGTGACCCTAAGTTAATACCTATTCTCATTAAACAAGGCACATGTAACATAAACACACAATGCTACAGGCAAAAAATACTTAACCTTTATCCTGACTGCGGCTTCATCATAGGAAAAGAATCAAGAACATCTACAACAAGATGGGTAACTGATTCTCTTCACATTACTTTGACAAAGGCTATGATGAACACCCTCATGAAAGGGTTCTTACTGCTCTCATCTTCATAAATGGTTATATCACCTAACTTGGATTTGTTAGAACAGGCCTCCTTACACTTACCAGGAACATGAACTTGGAGATAAGCAAGTAAATGTTTATTTTGGCTCTATGTGCGAATTTCTGGCATATATTTTATTAAAACTGCTGGCTCTGAAACACCCATACCTAGGTCTGACACACCTCATATTTCCAGCTATTGTCCTACTCACTTCCTAAAAGAACAGCTTCAATATGTAAAATCTTTTCTGCTTCTGAGAGGTATAAGTGTATTCCGTGTGTTCTTTCCTCAATAAAAAGAAAACCTCACTTTGCACCACAGGCTGTTCTTCCCCACCTTCCTAGCATCCCTGAGTCTGGTATTACCTGCCAAGTTCCCAACAGAACTGAATTCTTACATCAGAGTCTTGTGTATCCTCTCTATGGCATCCTCCAGCTCTTCCTTCTGGTCAGGAACGAAGCGGTACTCGGAGACATAACCTGCAGTGTGCTTGTACGGGTCATAGTCCCCCAGCTCAGCTACAGAACACAAGGAGAAAACAAAGGTCACCTGTGCTTCTTCACAACCAAAACATGCGTTATATAATCCACCTACTGGTGCCCAGCTGCCCCTCTCCAACTGACAGCCAATTTAATTGGCAGTCAGACAAGAAAAAAAGGAATGAAGGAAGACTATTCACATCAGCAGACATAAAAGCAATAAGAAATTGTCTTCACACATTTTAAAAAATACATAGAAGGAAGGTTAGAGCTAGAAAGAGCTAGAAGCCTTGATAGGAAACCTACTGCTTCTACAGGCCAGACAAAATTTTGACCAAGCCAGCAAAGTTTGAATTCAATTCTACATTCAAGTGTAGAAGAAAAGTCTAGTTTTGTAATATCCGTGCTCTCTCGATATACTGCAATATTACTGGCAGAAAAGTTCCAAGTTATTGCTGGCACTTTAACATAAACTGGGAATACAAATGGAGGTAAATATCCCGTGAGTCCTAGAGGGAGGGTCTTCTTTTGAAGAATCACAAGCTTTCCTTTTTCAATAAAATATTTGATATCCTGGATATCAAATTCACTTTTAAAATAAAAACAGCATTCAAAAGATCTTTCTTAAAGAACATGATGAATAGCCAATGTAATTTTGTTTGACACTACCCTGAATTTGTACACATTAGTCGTGTCTGTTCGTATGTTGTAACATAATTATAAAACAAATACCATCTTGGCCAGAACTCACATCTACTGATCTTAACTATAATTGCATCTGAGAAACTCTGCAAAAGTTAGTATTTCAACTTTTTATAAGCCTGGGTAATATCTGTGCACTGGGTTTTTCTGAGAAAGATTTCACAGGAGTTTTCTATCCAGTGCCCACTGAGCCAGAAACATAGCCAAAAGGAGGCTTCAAGAGCCAAGAAGGAAAAGACTCATCTAACTACTGATGTTTCTTTCCCAAATGTGTGCCCAGCTGCCCCTCTCCAACTGACAGCCAATTTAATTGGCAGTCAGACAAGAAAAAAAGGAATGAAGGAAGACTATTCACATCAGCAGACATAAAAGCAATAAGAAATTGTCTTCACACATTTTAAAAAATACATAGAAGGAAGGTTAGAGCTAGAAAGAGCTAGAAGCCTTGATAGGAAACCTACTGCTTCTACAGGCCAGACAAAATTTTGACCAAGCCAGCAAAGTTTGAATTCAATTCTACATTCAAGTGTAGAAGAAAAGTCTAGTTTTGTAATATCCGTGCTCTCTCGATATACTGCAATATTACTGGCAGAAAAGTTCCAAGTTATTGCTGGCACTTTAACATAAACTGGGAATACAAATGGAGGTAAATATCCCGTGAGTCCTAGAGGGAGGGTCTTCTTTTGAAGAATCACAAGCTTTCCTTTTTCAATAAAATATTTGATATCCTGGATATCAAATTCACTTTTAAAATAAAAACAGCATTCAAAAGATCTTTCTTAAAGAACATGATGAATAGCCAATGTAATTTTGTTTGACACTACCCTGAATTTGTACACATTAGTCGTGTCTGTTCGTATGTTGTAACATAATTATAAAACAAATACCATCTTGGCCAGAACTCACATCTACTAATCTTAACTATAATTGCATCTGAGAAATTCTGCAAAAGTTAGTATTTCAACTTTTTATAAGCCTGGGTAATATCTGTGCACTGGGTTTTTCTGAGAAAGATTTCACAGGAGTTTTCTATCCAATGCCCACTGAGCCAGAAACATAGCTTCAAGAGCCAAGAAGGAAAAGACTCATCTAACTACTGATGTTCCTTTCCCAAATGTTGAAATGAAATTGCTAGAAAAAGATGGTGAGGTGCTCAGTAGGGATGTTGAGAAGTCTCACTGGAAAATCTCCATTAAAATTATGTATCCAGTCTCTAAGACAGACATTTCTCAGGTGTGTTTGCGTATTTGGAGCAACAGCAAGCCCTAAATAAAAGGATAAAGTTTTTTACAGAGCTCATGGGAATGCATACCTCCTAGTGCCTGGACTAACTTTAACTCACTGTATGTAACCTTGGCCATGCTTTAACTCTTCTCTCTCCCATAAACTTTCTCATTGTTTTCCAACAAAATATTTGAGATTAGAATTACAGGAACAGGACACCATACCAAAACAACAGCTCTCACCACCTTACAAAATTACTGAAGGGCATGAATTTACTCCTTTTAGTCACTTCTTATAATAAAATGAAGATGCTACCATCATTGCATATTTTCCTGCTTCAACTTGCAGTATTTTTTCAGAGAAGGCATGTCTGCCAGTAAAGTGAAATGTGCATTGCAAACAATTTTTCAGAGGATGACATGTCATATTTCTTAGATGGTAAAATAAAATAAAAAATAATGGTAGACAAATAAATACTGCCTGAAACTTTAGTTTTTCAGATACACAAGTTATTCTGCCATGTCATTCTAAAATGGATATAAAAGGAGAACTATTTTTAATGTTATATTAAGTGTTATTGAGTGACACTTGTAACACCAATAATACAAACAATCTTTCCTTGATACATATCACTTTAGACAAATCTAAATTTAATACGGAAAAAAATTAGAGATAGAGGTCCCAGCATGGCACTTCACACAATTTTTGCTTGCAATTCTGTTTGAATATAGATCTTGAGCTGTAATGGAAAAAGAATAACAGCTCCAGTAGCTAGCCAGCTCCTTTCTAATTGAATGCTAGTTCTATTTAGCATGCAGCATATAACATCCACTCCTGAAAAGATCTCTACTGATGGATGAATGTAGATAAATACTAAATAAAATGAAAATTCTTCACTTCAGGTCAAATCATATCCTTCTGTTAAGTAAACTTGCATTCATATTGACATAATGTAATTTTTGAGATAATATTTTGTTTCCCAGATTTGAGGCTGCCTTTGAAATCTGTAAATCTCCTGATGAAGGTTTTGTCGTACTCTATATGTAATCCAAAGTTATAAAATCTTAAGTACTTGATAAAATATTCCCCAACAAAGCAAATAATGTTTAGCAGAGTCTTCAGATTGATTTTAAAGTTTCTTCTTTACATTAACTTCCATATTGCTCCTGCATTATCTATTCAGAATGGTCATTTATTTACAGCTCTTGAAGTGAAATCTGAAAACTTCTGTTTGGAAGAGAATGCATAAAGTGGTAATGCTGTCTTCAGTCATCACTTAAATTTAATCACAATGTAGGATTGAAGGGAATAAGTTTTCAGAGGGCCAGGAGAACTTACACTGAATTATGTATGCTCCCAGCTGTGCTGCAGTGTTGATTGGACAAGGTAAACGGCCCTGTAGAACATCTTGCTTTACCTGCAAGAAAAACTGATACCTAAAACATAGAGATAAAACAAAGTTGTTATTTTAAGTCCAATTAATATTTCAAAATTATCCCTGTAACTGTGCACATACCAGGTACCATAATTATGTGACAGTAAATGCCTGTATTCCCCTCTAAATCACTTCCCCTATTGATACAGAAGTAACAACTAAGATTCATCCAGTGGAAGAACCCAGGAAAGGGAGCACTTCCAATTTTCCAATCTGCTTATATTCTGCTGAGGCAATTACTTATGACCCTAAAACATCACTTCCCTCTTTTGACTTTCACAGAGCAGTCAGGAAGCAGGGAAGGAAGATAGGAGTCAGAAAAATGGAACAAGAACCTATCAAAGGGCAAAAGTTTAACCTCGTCATGGGATCAGTGTAAAGGATGACTGGGTATTGGATTACTTGCTTACTCAAATATTTTCTCTCCACATACCAGAGTATTGACTACAGTGCAGCAGGGAAGTTTGATGAACCCCATGAAAAAGATGGATGGGCGTGCCATCAGCAACTAACTGAATCTGTTGTAGCACAAGGTACTACTTGGAATAGTTACACCAGGGATGAAAATGTAATTTTCAAAGTCATAACCTGCTTCTACACTAGATAAAGCTGAGACCACTTAGAATGAATCAATATGCCCAAAGCAGATGGAACACACAAGACAAGAAGCCATTATATAAAGCATCTGCAGTTTTGCAACTTTCCATAATGATTTATTTAAGATCTTTTAAACACTATTTGGATTTTGTCTGATTTTATTACAACAGATTTATGCAGTGTTTCACATCATCCTAAGTTAATTTCTTGCTCTGATTTCCTACAAAATGTAAAAATACAATGAAGGTAATTTTTTACAGAAAAATAAAGGTCTTCCATACAACAACATAGCTTTTCCATTATTCACTAGTTCAATTTTAACTACGTAGAGCCATTCAGCTACTATGCAAATAATTTATTCTGTGTTAGTACAAGTAATTGATGAAAGCACCTTGGAATGCTCTGTAAGTTCAAAGTGCACCTACACTGATTTCAGAAAAGTTTACAAACTGCAGGTTACATGACAGCTGACTCAGAAAACTTAAGATCCAGTCAAATTTTCTAGACTTTATCAGATGAGCCTCTGAATAAAGATACTCATGTTCTTTTGAGTAATGATTTTCCCCCAGAGTTTGTGCTGTGACAGATGTTATGGTAGGAATGTCCATCCTCTAAAAAATGGTTAACGTTCTCTACTTCAGAGGAATGGCATTAGCACAGGAATTTCCTGGGAATATCTCTGGGCAACAGAAAGCACAGACACTCAGTGTTTCCTCACTCTAAGCAATACCTCAGTCCTGCTTCTAGTCTATGCTTACAATTCTACCTAGACAAATCTTCCCTGTATGAATTATGATAATGACCAAGAAGATTTTACATCCTCTATGGAGTACAGAACATCATGTTTCTGCCATGAAATGCATTTCTGTTGCACACCTATACTTCTCTACAGAACAGAGCTTGGAAGGAAAGGATGCTAGAAATATATTATCCTTGGAGCAGGTACCTATATTTCTGTAGTCTGAAAACAAAGTAGCATAGGAACCCTCAAAACACACCTGCATCCTGCATTGTTAATTGCTTAAAGTGGCTCCTGTAAGGTGAACAATCTCAATTCCCACTGAAGCCACTGAGCTCCTTGGAAAACCAGGCCTTCTGTCTACACCTATAGCTAAAGCAGTCTCATCTTGTGTGCCAATGTTTCTCATGCATATATTAGAGTGCTTAATTCCAAGTTTTCTCTAGCAAACACAGCCAGCAAACACGGCAGTGTTAGCTTTTGCCAACAAGCCAGACAGATTCTGCTGCAAAGCAATTACAAATTTGACAGGTTTTCATTATTTGCAAAGAGTAATCATATAATGGCACAGATCATCAGAATCTAATAACAACAGTTAGCTCTCATGTCCATTAAAGTAATAAATACATGCTCCAAAGCATCAATTAGCACAAAGCAGTTAACACATCACTGGAATTACACAATTAGGCAGAACATTATTATTATTCAGAAAAAGAGGGTGTTTAAATGCCTCCTAAGTAGAAGGACCTTTAGGAGTCCCTTCCTACCCAAATTATTCTAAGGAGATGGTGATAGTACTAGTACTAGTACTACTAGTAGTAGTAGCAGTAGTAGCAGTAGTAGTAGTAGTAGTAGTAGTAGTAGTGTTATTTTTCTGGAAAAAAAAAAGCCTTCCTTCCAAGATTTAAGAGCCTGTGGGAATAAGTGTTCACAAATGTTGAAGGCAGTTGGCTATTCAATGTGTTTCATAGAAGACTGACAATACCATCATATCAATTTCCTAGGCTGGCCTTCTGTACCACCCAAAGTGCCAGCTCTGTGTGACCAAACATTGTCAAGTCATGACCAGAGGCTACCTAAGGACACTGAAAACTTTCTTGACTGGATTTGTACACTACTCAGGAGTGCAGATCACTGGCTGGCCTTATCATAGGGCAAAAGAAGAAATTTAGCCTCCTGTCTCCACCCTGCCTCCTGGGAGGCAATCATAACAGATTCCATGGCCAAAGTTCCCTTTCCCAGGGACACCTGTCTTTTCCTGTGAGGAGGATTTAAAGCTCTTCTGGGAAAGTACAAGAAAATGGCACCAAATTTCCATAGTACAGGGGAACCCCATCACTGCCAGGTTATGTTCTTTTACCTGCCATGTCACAGCGTTTTTTATTTTTAACAGGCCAGCCTGGGTCTTGTTAAGTTGGAGACTTCCATTCCTGTTGTGCCAGTTGGAAACAAAAGAATTTTCTCACTCTGGAGTAAGAAAAATATTCTGCCTGTACTGCAACCTTTGATTTAGGAAAATGAAAAACCTTGCATGCATTCTAATGAATCTTCATGTCCCACATTCTTAGGACATCAAAAGATGTATTTGTTAATGCAAGCTAGCACACTAATTTTGTCCGCCTACCTACTCAAATTCTCAAATTTCCTTTTGAACCTAAAGTTAATTGTCCGAAACATTTAATAAATAAAACAGACAGATAACCCTGAAGCTGTGAGAGAGTTTAGATAACCATATGTGTGTCTCTGTGTGCAAGCATGTGCATATGTTACTGCGTGCATCCTCATGCCTTGCAGAGACAAGCTTAGGTAAAAGAATCAGAGGCATGCATGTCTTCAATTTCCTTCACATATTTTTAGTAAGTCCAAAAGAAATCCGCTTGAAAAACAGTTCTGGAATTTAAGCTATGGCCAATAAAGAAGAAAATTCCCTGCATCTATATCTGATACCCAAGTAAACTCTAAACTTGGTTATAGCGTAGTAGAAATGCAGCTGTAACAATGCATTACTGAAAATATGGGGGAAAAACCCCCACTCTCAAAAAGGCACATCAAGGCCCTTTGATTTTTGATGCCAGAGAAAGTATTTTCTTATTGGGCTTCCTAACAGTCATCACCATCAACCACTGTGAAGTTAATCACTATTTTCTTACTACACACCAATGTTCAAGCATTCAGGTGTTCAAGAAAAAAAACAACCCAGGCACACCACAACAATATTCACCTGGTTAAAATTTATTGCTAGCCTGAGATCAACAAACTATTTTTTATTAAATACTGTACCTTGTTATTTCTTCTTTAAGTTTACATGGATCTTCTGCATAAAATTTAATGCCAAAATACAGAGTGTATGGTGGTCCAGCTGCAGGAAAAAAAAATTGGGGTAAAAGTGAGTGGTCATGAATTGCTAATTGATACTAATTGTTACTAGTTGATGACAAAACAGCTACTAAGAAGCCTATCTTAACATTTTATGAAACTTGACATTTTCAGAAAAAATGTTACAGTCGCACAGCAAATGGTTATGGTACGCTAAGCTGATAGTGCATCACAGCCACTATAAAATTATATTAATTAATGATACACCACTTATTAGCTTAAAACAAAATTTAAGCACACAACAGTCCTTGGACAATAATCACACTGTTAAATGATACCATGTGCAATCCACATGTGAAATTTTGATACAGCAAAGAACTGCAATAACTAATTTGTTAAGAACTGTAAATCTGTTTTGACTAGAATATTGTGCCAACTGTATAGATGGAACATTGTTACTCTATCTTTGTCCTTTAGGTTCAAATTAAATACATACTGTTTATCAATTCTTTATGTTCAGCGAGGGTCTTTGCAGGATCCAGCCAGTACTGTGAGACAGATAATTATGGAAATTAGTTACTTAACTTTGAAAATTAACACAGAACAATTGGTTATTCATACCACTTAACCTTTTCTTCTCCTTCCCTCATACTAAGCTGATAGGAGGAACTGCACTCTCATCCCTGGAAGAGAGAATGCTTCTGCTTTTGCTAGTAAAAATAAGTATCAGCTGGCGTGAGAAAATATGTTTTTCTGTGAGTGCCACAGGTCTTGAGATCAGCACAGGTGAGATTAAACGCTTCAGTATGGTGGAGAAGAAACAAGACTCTCACCTGCCTTTTCATTTCTCCAGTGAGTACTTAACTCTGGCCATGGTAAACCCATGCTTAAAATGACTGTGCAGCTATTTATTATTTCAAAGGCTGCCAAAATTTTCCTGAAGAATGCAAGAGGTGGGGGGAGGAGCGGGAGATTTCTAATATTTTATTTGCAAGCCAAAGATGAATGGAATTTCATGGATAATGCAAAGGCATTTTTCAAGCCAAAGTCAGACAGTAAAGATGAGAGAATTTAGAGATCCAAGAACACCAACACCAGGGCCCTGCAGCGCACCTAGGCACACCTACACAGTAATGTGTGTTAGATACTTGTTAAATGCTTGTACAGATGGATAAACAGTTTCAGCTATAGTTACACCACCAAGCTGATAGGCTGAAGTGCCAAGAGAAATGGAACAAAAAAACAGTGTCTCATTAATCCAGTGCACTTGCACAGCAGTTGCTGACAACAAACCCTGGAGTGGTGCATGCCAAGGCAGCTCTGATGCGCTGCCCTTGCCCTTTTCATCTCCTGGCAGCCCCTGCGACACCCCCCAGTGCTCTCCCACCTATGCCCCCTGCACGGGCTTGCAAACAGCTAACCCTGCTGCAGAGAGCTGGAGGACCCAGCACCTCCTTACCCAGCTGCACGGGATCAACGCTGCAAATCTATAAAAGTACTTAACATTTACAGAATGTGTGGAAAGTGGGGAAAAAATATAATAATTTTGTAATAGTCCTAACCAATGCAACTATCCATTTACTAAAGGGACTGGTTTACTGATTGTTCTTTACAAATACACATAGTATTACTTTAATAATTTTTATTTACTAAGACTGATTAAAAAGGTACAATGTTATTAAAGAAAATAACTCCCTTTTAAGTTTTAGGCAGAAACTACATTAAAAAATGTTTTAAAGTATAGCATAAATAATAAATGGACTCTTTTGTCCTTTGTACTTTTATAAATCTGGCTCCCATACAAGCCAGTTATGTAAGCAGCATGCATCCATGCAGTATTTCATAATTAGTCCTTTTAAGTTCCTCCAAGAACTTTACCACAAATCTGGAAACTTAATTTTTTGTATCTGCATAGGGTTAAACTTGGGTCAAATTCCATGAACCTGCTTGAAACAAAATATTAACTAGGTAGATATGTTTGCTGTAGTATCAATCAATGAAGTGTCTGGTGCAGGAAGATCTATCAACTTCAAACTAAATACTGGACTGTCTTAATTAGAGTGTCACAATAAAGATGTTAGGTTTTGATCACATTTACAACAGGAAGAAACACAATTTTGGAGAGAAAATGTGTCATTTTTCAATTATAATCTGAAATTATTGAGACTTCCCACAGCCTAAGACAACCCTAAGAATTGGAATTGCTGTATCAGATTTTTCCTGCAAATTTTCAGTGCAAAAAAACTCAATCTGCTGAGGTCAGGATGTACGTATTATATAAGAAATGTAAAAATTTTCAGGCAATTCTTATGTATAAATGTGTATTTAATGCTACTATCTTTGTTTTTAGAATCTGAAGGTATATAGATTACAGTTATTATATCATCAGTGAACTGATTCTGTGCACTCTAAAAGTATATTCTTACTACTTGTAACTCACCTGATCATCAGCTTTGTGTCTGTTGTTTTAATCCAATAATATTCTTCTAAAATTTCTTGTTTCTACTCAAAATTATCAGTCTCCATTTTTCTTTCCACTGGTTATCACATCTAATTTAACACACACAAACAATTCCCTTTTCTCCTAGATAATTTAGTATATCATGCTTGGGGATGAGTGTAAAAATCCATTTTAAAAATTCCTTTCAACAAAACACAAGCTAAGTACAACTTGACTTTTTTTTCTAAAATCTTGAAGACAAAATATGGTCCACACGGTATGGTATTAATTCCCTTTATTTCCATGGATTACCTCCTACCTGCTGTATTCTCAGGGTTGCGTGCTCAAACAGAGCTTCCTTCTAGCAAGGGAGAAAAACACACCTACGTTGCAGGGTGGGGGAATGGCGCAATATGAATTAATATAATGATTTTCTGTATTTGTATTTCTCCTCTTAGAGCCCTGGCAGGGTATCAGTGTGTGGCACATTCTGATTATAATAGCTCAGATTAGCACTATCAGATCAAAAAATAAGAATATTACTGTTATAAATATTCTTATTGCTGTACTAATTTTTGTATGTAGCATAATTCTTTTGGCATTTCACAAATGGGAACACCTTTGGGCTTCAGGGGGACCCTTTCCCTCATCAAATTCTGCTCAGGTTTTCCTGACATATCATGTATTATATTGCTATCTCTGTCTTTTGCGTACCTTAATAAAATACTGTCTTCTTCCAGACCACTAACTAGCTTGGCTATCCTACACACCCCTGGCAAAGCCATAAAGGCATCAGTAAAGAACCTGGGAGCTGCAGCACAGCAGGAAGCAGCAGGGAGAGTGGCAGGATAGCCCTCCCAGCACCAGTTCACCCAGCCCCTGGAGAAGTACAACCCTGGGCCACTGTTTTCCCCAAATACTAAAGCAACGAGAGACTGGAGTGGGAAGAATGTGGCCAGCAGGTTGAGGGAGGTGATCCCGCTTCTCTCCTCAGCCCTAGTGAGGCACATCTGGAAAACTTTGTCCAATTCTGGGCTCAGTAGTGCAAGAAAGATAAGAAGTTAATGGATAGGGTCCAGTGAAGGGTCACAGAGGTGTGAGGGCTTTGGAGCATGTCTTTTATGAGGACAGAGGGGATCTGGGCCTATCTAGTCTGGAGAAGAGAAGACTGCAAGGGGATCTCACTAATGCAAATAAATATCTCCAAGGCAGGTATCAGGAGGAAGGTACCAGACTCTTTAATGGTGCAAAGTGACAGGATGAGGAGCAATGGCATAAACTAAAACACAGGAATTTCCACCTCAATACAAGGAAGAACTTCCTTCCATTGAGGGTGGCAGAGCACTGGAAGAGCTGCCCAGGGAGGGTGTGGAGTCTCCCCCTCTGAAGACATCCTAAAACAACCTGGGTGTGATCCTCTGTCACCTGTTCCAGGTGACTCTGCTTTGTCAGGGGGTTGGATTGGGTCCAGAGGTGTCTTCCAAAGTAATGATTCTGTGATTCTGGACACAGTTTCCAAAGCCACCCTCAGCTTCTGCTACACATATTCTGGCGAGTGTGTCTCACTGAAAATACCAGATGGGGCACAAAGTCCTGGGAGATGAGGCAGAAGACACAAATGCCCTCTCCAGGAAGACCCAGCTCACTATCCTCATTGAGAACCATGAGGACAGTATCTGGTGTCAGCTTACACTAATTTGGGTGCCAGCACTCTCTGTAGTAATGCAAAAGGCTCAGGTGAAGGTGAGATGATGAAGCACAGTTAGGGATCCTCTGGCACTCAAAGAAAATTGGTCTTTTTTAAAAGAATTTGCAGCACAAAGAAAGGTACTCAAATACCACATGAGAAGAAGCACCACATATAGTTTGTCAACAGAGGCACTATTAGGAAACACTACTGACAAGACACGGCATTAGCTGAACCTATCTGTTCACTGTAGTTGTATGTAATGAAATTTTTAATTCATAATTAAATGTTGTATTTTAACCAATTATTAGAAGATACATTTTGTTGTTCCTTTGGAGACCCGTCATGTTCAAAGCACTAAGTGATATAGATAATGCTATTCTGACATCACCTTGTAATCTTCCAGAGCTTGATTTTTCCAATTTGAATACTGTCCTTTTACTGTGGACAGTGTGGGGACACCTGGAATGCCAGTAAAGCAAAATGTGCGAAATATGACCAAATTACTAAACTAGAGACAGGGTCATTCAATTTATGCTTCACCCTTCTGGTCGTGCCCCTGCCAGTGCCACCCAGTTCTGTCAATCTCTTTGCTGCATGCAGCTGTTGTCACAGGCCAATTAGTTTGTTGGCCGTTCAGGAAGAGACCATTTTAATGCTACACATTCATATACACTGTGTAGCACAGTGAAACCTTGTTCACTCATTAAAGCCCTACTGGTAGTACTAAAATGATTATGATACCACCCACATAAGAGGTAGCTCACCAACACAGCACTTAAAAGACCACCTGGAAATGCTGAGGCATGCAAGAGTAATAGGGAAAATAACCAAACAATCCCTTTCAAATCTTTAATAAGAAAAATGTTTATTTTGTGACAGATTTGTATTCTTTAAAATACATTGTTTTGTCTATGATGTGTTCAGTTAAATCTACGATGTATTCAGTTAAATCATTCAGTTAAATCTATAGTGTGACAAAAAAAACCTAACAGTACAAATAATAAAACTTTCCCCACCACAAGCAATGTATTAATAGGCAGCCCAACCCCCAAACAGTTTCGCCCTCTGAGACTAACTCAGAACCACGGTTTTAAAACTAATTAGCAAGGTAACCTTTTTCCTCTTCCCTTAGGAAATCTACTGTGGTCGATCCAAAAAATATCCAATCCAAAATGCAGATCTAGGCTTCTTGCCAGCCATTACTGAACTAATTCCCACAACAGCCCAGAGAGTTTTAGCCACAGTCAGCATGCAACTAAATATATGTTTACAGCTAAAGCACAAGGTGTCGGTTGTTGTGTGAAAACTTTCCATTATACTGCCCATTCTTAAGAGCTTACAAGAGTTCACTAAAAATAGCAAGCTAGCAGCATAAAACCGCACATCATAAAACACATAAAACTACACACAGTAGCACTGTTTGGCTCATTCATGAACTTTTTAGATGAAGGAGCATCAGCTTTTCGTTATCCTTACAAAGACAAACAACAGGAACAGGCCTTTTCACAATGGTTTTTTACAGGACAGCCCAGATGCAAGGGCAGCAGTACACACTTGGCAGTCCCTGTGGCAGCATCTCCATGGCTGGGCAGGAGCACTCCATAGCCCTGCACACAGCTCAGCTCCCGTATCCACATGACAAGGCCAGTGTCGGTGTAAAAGCAGGCAAATGACAGAAGCGGGACAAACACTTTCCTAAATCCATGGGAAACTCAAGAATTACAGTGTCTTCCTGACACTGAGCTGGCCAGAGGATAAAGCCTAAAGCTGACATTAAATTTACACCACTGGAGCACCACATGAGAGAAAAAGTAGAACAAAAGGATGTGCCCTAAAATGTCCTTTTATATGTCCTTTTCACAATAGAGGTGCAATCCCTTTTCATATTCATATTTTCATATACACCACTAAATATACCCTGTGTATGCTTCTGGAAATATTCCCAGGAACAGCCTGGGAAATAAAATTTCTATTTTATTTGCAACCACAGCTAAAATGAAAACACTTCTGAGAGCAAAAAATACCTATCTGCTCTTCATTCACACCTCAAATTCCTCAGGAAATCAAAAGCACCAGTTTTAACAGTCTACCTTTAACTCACAGCTAAATATGGCTTTCATCTTCATGGAATAAAATTATTAGAAGCTCATCAAGGAACTGAATACATTTCTGGACTATGGCACAGAAGTTAAAACACAGGGAGTGGGGCAGTCTGTAGCTCTCAGCAGCAATCAGTAACCTGCTTAATACTGTTCTAAATTCAGTCTTTACATTATCAGCTTCTGGTTAACAGAAGAAATTGGCAAATATTTAGCCAATTCAATAAGTTATTACTATATATAGATGAAACAGGGTCTTGTGCAGTGCTATCATCACAAAACACTGGCTTCAAACCTGTAATGGCTTGACTTAGTTTAACCACAGGCCAGGCACTATTCCCTTCATAATTTTAAGTTAGTATGAAGGTCATCCTGTGAATACAGCACTGGTTCCTCTTGCTGAGCACCCCCTGCTCCTCACCTCTGCCTGCAGCAATCCTGCACAAGCCTTTGGTAGGGCAGACAGCACTAATCCAAAACACTGCCTGCTTTGGCTGAAACAGCTCAGCCTGGCTGAAACATCTCCTTGTATGTTTAGGATGGTAATTTCCCAGTGGAAAAAGCCTCATATGTAGGGTGAGTCCCTTTCAAGAAGGCTCTAGAGAATATGGGCTTAGGGGCACAGAGATGGTTCAGGCAGAGTGAAAAAGGCATTGCCCCACATAGCCTGAAACAGGGGTTTGGCCAGTGTTGCAGTAAGTGAAGCAGGCCTGATGCACTCAGGGACTGCTTCCCAGGCACTGCAGGGCCAAGTGAGGCTGAGCAGCACTGAGCACCAGGCACAGGCTTCAGGGCACAGTATTAAAGAGGAAAAAATATCAATCCTATGTCCATATAATAATTTTTTACTATTTGTACTCTCTTAATTTAGTTTTCAACAACATTTAGCATTTTATTTCATTCCTATCTAAGATGTTAATGGCTATTCCAAGACTTTATTTGAAATAAACAAAATAAATTATTACTGGAAGCCTGAGCCAGGAAACAGTGAAAGTTAGGGGAAGTATGACGAATGCTTTATAGGCAAACAGGGTGAATTTTATACATGGCAAATCCAATCTGCTGTGTCTTTTACTCACCGTTTGATGACTTCGGTCACAGTAGCGCAGCCCAAAGTAATCTATTTCCACCAGGTTTAAGTGACGAAATACGTAGCCCAGGACAACCGACCCTTTCGTTGACTTCTGTGGGAAAGAATTTACAGAGCCTATTCACAAAGATGCTCTGCCATTGTCAGCTATGTGCAGTGGCATTCATGCATTCAATTAGCTTTGTCTAAAAAAAAAATAGGCAGTTCCCAGTGCCTTTAACAAAAATTTCAGCAGTACAGATGAAAATATTTTGCATGTTCGAAAACTAATTCTGTAAAATACCATTAGGAAGCTGGCAAGGTAGTAGTTACACAATACCAAAAGAAAAACAAACAAACAAACAAAAACCCCACAGTTCTAGTGAACACAGCATTTTCCAAATCCCACTCACCCTTCCAGTACAGGCCTGTCACTCAAACTTTGACAATGGAGAACAGGAGGCAAAACTGCCCTTAAGACCTAAATTATACATCATTAACTTCTCTGTTACTAATCTTTGTAAAGAAGACTAGTTTTATTTGTTTTCTTGTAAAACATATTTTATATTAGAAGGGAGAACAGTCCAACACCCTGAACTGAAATAATCCCACTGTTTTCTTGAATAGCACTTTGTTAAGTGTCTACGACAGTATTTGCAAACAATGTTGGGGACAATATGCTCTACAAAAAGCTCACTTCCACCCGAATGCCTCTTTATTTGTTGCTTCACCCAGCAGCCAACAACAAACAGATGAGGAAGATGGAGAATAATTACAGAGAATGATCCCCTTTCAGAATCAATTAGAGCCTTTGATTATTACAGTCCTAAATTCCACAAGAAAATATGGACATAACTCATAATAGGTTTTGCTTAGCTGCTTCATATTTTATATACTAGACTGTAGTAAAATCACCACAGAGAAAAGAAGCAGAAAGTCGAAGCTATGAGATATTGTTTGTGCATTTTCATTTTCTAGCTTATGAACAGATAATTTCAAAATTAAAATGGCAAATAATACTGATAAAAAAATTCTTTAATTTAGTTCTGCTGGTGAAGTATCAATCATATGACAACAGTGAAGGTCTGTTTTTTTTCCAGCAAGTGCATTTGGTCAGGAGTCATATCTAATCCCATGAGCAGAGACAATACAACATTTTCAGGTGGCCACTCACACACTAAGCAAGTCATGACAAGGTAAATACCTCTGGTAGCCTGGAAATAGCATATCTATGCTATTCACCAGATTTACTATATATTTGCCTAAATTAGGAGATGTACTTGAAAGGTTCTCTTTGTTTAAATCCATCAGACTGGTTGTTTACATCAGGCAACTGCAATTACATATTCCCTCAGCGTGTACAGTGAGCCTTAATGATCAGCCACAAAACAGAGGGCAGTCTGGGGGGAAAGATGATTAAGGTAAGCAGAATTTCACTACATCTCAATTTATAAAGCTGGATAAAGCAGAGCAATACAGTGATTTTATCATCAGTTTCATCAACAAGAAGCTGAAGGCATGTTGTGAGAATAAGGCAAGTCAAGCTGTAGAGTGACTATCAGGAGCACTGCAGAAAAAAGTTGAAACAAAACAAAACACACCTTAAAAATACTAAAAATACAGGTTTGATTACTAGACAGTAGGGATTTAAGACTGAAGTAGTAATTATCCTCGCTCATTTTATTTTTAAATTAGTTGTCATTCAAAAAAAAAGCAGAGGAGATATCCCACTAAAAAGGACATCGTTATAATTTGTGTGTGGACTTGATGATCCTGGTGAGCCCCTTCCAGTTGGCATGTTCTATGATTCTGTGTCATATGAGGCAAATTACCTTCAGCATTGTTAACTATTTCCATCATCATTTAAACAGTACAGCAAGGTCTTGGGAACCTAGGGCTGGACAGGCATCTTTAGAAACAGACAAAAGTTAAAAATAACACTCCCAAATGACCCATGCAGATAAATGATGGTAACACTTCTATCTGGGCACTAAACATTCAGAGAACACTTCAGACTAAAGGATCTCCAACATCAGCCACCCAGAGTTGATGGTTTTTGACACAGTTAACCACAGTGAGGTGAGTAAACCCTTGCAGAAAGTAAAAAAGGGGTGCCTGCACCATGGCTTACAGGACACATCGAGTGGTGCCCACTCAAGCCTTGCTCAGCTTCTGTGACTGTGTGAAGTTCAAATCTGTTTCCTTTCAATGAGCTTTCCACTCCTTGTCTGACCAGTACCATTATTTACAGTATCAGTTTATTTTATTAACAGCACTGAGAACAGTGATTGAGCCACCAAGATGAAGCTGTCAATTTCAATAATGTAAGTATTATTTTACTTACAATAACAGTACACAATCCTGGGAGTAATCAAAGAAGCTTAAGTCATACAGGAGTTCAACTTACATGACTCTGCACCAGTTTAGAATGCAACTACCCTTCTTGGATGGAAGTCTTCTGCTTCATTCAGTTGAGGAATGCACAAGGAGTTTTTGGGACAGCTTTCCTTCTATGGACTCTAAAGCTGGTGAGTTATCCCCAAGAAAGATGCATATATCAGATCTGGTTTGGTTAAAATTAAAGCCTCCTTTCTTTCCTTTCAGAGATAAATGGCTTCTAACTTGCTTTTTACTTATACTGCTAGGCAGATAGAAAACATAAAGCCCTGTTAATTTGACGCAGCTCAGTTAACACTTCAATAATTGCAGGTCCTGCAGAAACAGGTGGTCTGACTGTGAGGAAAGGCTGAGCAAACCCATCCAGCTTACAACGGCTGGGGGCTCTCCACTTCTACAGCAGCAAGGTGCTCAGTGCTTTGGTTACCCTCAGCCAAAACAGACTGCCTGTTGTAGTCTCCACAGCCCTCTCTGCCAATCCTTTTCACATCCTTCAGCACAGCCTGCTGAACACAAAGAAGTTCTTTGCAAGGAAACAGCCAGGATGTGGGCCAGGACCTGTTCTCACACCTTTCAAACCTCACCTTCCTTAACCTCGTATTTTTCCCAGCACCACGGAGCACTGTCCATGTAAACACTGACCCTTGCTGAAACCACTGCAGACTCATTTTCAGTTGAAGTTCTCAGTTTTAGCCACATGATTTCAGGGTTTCATGCAAGCAATTTGCATCTTCAAGTCAAATCAAGAAAGAAGTTTTGCTGATGAATCCCTTAATAACTACTTCTCAGTCCTGAAACGCATTTTTACTGCATTTGCTCGAACTTTTGCAAAGTAAGAGAAGCTATCTTATTACCCCTGATAAAATTACAGCAAAATTCAGCAAAGCTGGAAACCAAAACTATCAAGGACATTAACAGGATTACATTCACATCATGTGGCATTGCAAAAATTATATAATCTGCCTTGCATTAAACTCAGACTTGCAAAAGGTTTGCATTCTTAGGGGTAAACCCAAATACATTTGAAAATACCATCAGCAATGCTTTCAAGAGAGAACAAAGAATTGTTTCAATGAGTCATAACATCTTGCTTTACATGTTAGCACTGTGGCTTCATAAACCAGAAAGGCAGGTTTATACTGGTGAAAGAAAATGACAGCCAGAACATTCAGGAGCAGGCTGATTTAACTGTCATTTTCTTAATCAAAGTGAAATTATTCTTTTAAAAGCAGTACATAGGGTTCTGTGTTTTAACATATTCATATTACTCTATATTTAGACACCAGAAATTCTTCTCTTTCACATAACTCACTGCTTTTTAGCTTCAGTGAGGTTTTTCTTGTTGGGTAGTTTTAAATTTCCTCTCTTGAGTTGTACAGAGCAGTGGAGGCCACATCAGAACTATTACTGACATAAACTGAATTTAAAGACAAAATCTCTGCCCCATTAGGATGCTAGTCCCTCTATTGAAGGAAAAGTGCTATAGGTAGTGAAGCCTCTTGTTATTATCTCTTTTAGATCAAGCTAACATCACGGTGCTTTTCTCCCAAAAATAATTCAATCCACACACTCTACCTCTTACAACCAAAAAAAAAAAAAAAAAGCTAAGGAAGATGCAGAATTCATGAGCCTTTGCTCAGAAAAAGGGCTTAGAACTTACGTTGAACATAACCTTTGCCTTTTGAGATGCCCATCAGAGAGTCTCCCCTGACGCAGCATGCTTGGGATACCAAATTGCGCTATTTGCCCTAGGTAAAGGTTACTAAGGAGACATTAAAATTATGCACAAAGGTAGCACACAATCATGCATGAGAGTGAGCAGACACAGAACAGAAATAGGTGTCTCCAAACAGCATTTTCTCACTTTTCTCTTTGGCCTATTCTTCCTCCTTACCTCAAGCTCTGAGAAGACTAGACACCACTGCAATTTTTCATCACCTTTCCCTGACAAAAGCAGCAAGGCATGAATTCTGAAATCAAAGTTCTTGGTTTTCAACAATAAAGACTAAGGACCCCTTTTCCCCAAGGCAGTATGCCACCCAGGCCTCAATTTGCATACCACATGTTTAAGCCCAGAAAAGTCTTTAAATTAAAAATGTTAAACATTTACAAATATTCACCCAGACAAAATAGCTTAACCTTAATTTCCAGAATGCATGTCCAAACAGAGAAGAATTTACATTAGTGTTATTTTATATGTGCAAGGCATTCCCCAGCACAATCATATAACAGAAGTAAATACTTTGAGGAACTGAGAATTTAACAAATACAAATGAAACACCCAGGCTGCCCTAAGTATACATCATTAAAATGAACCATCCAAAAAGCATTAATCCATCCCTGACTCTCTGCTTGTATTTCACTGGCAGCAGACATGCCAACATATTTTCAGAGGTTTTTGTGTGAGCACTGCTTGGGTTTATGGACACAGGCAGACTTCCCTATCACTGTTGCCAAGAACTTGACATGATGTCTGATGTGCCCGGATGTTACAGATGACACAGAATTCTAAGTGCTGTATATTAAGATACCTATGAATCAGTTTAGTTTTCAGTAGTGGTCAATCCATTGCATTCCAGTCAGAAAATGCTATTCTAGGAAAAAATGTCTGAAAATGCGCCATATTTTTTTTGGTTTTGCAATTATTGTATCTATCACAAATTCATCTGCTCAGGAGCAACCTCCTTGAGAGAGGGATACATTCCTAGAAGCATGGGC